AGAAAATAACAGATACCAATTTCAGAGGTACAGAGCTGTATGTCACACTTCTTTATAGAACTGGAATGTCCTGGTTATTGCAACTGAGAAATTAACAACTGGAGAGATGCTTCATGACTAGGATGTTGGTATTAAATGATCTGATAGACTTCAAGATGTCTATGAGACTACCTTAAATGCCAGGACAATGCTGGAGACACTTAAAACCTCAACAGTCTTGGGAAACCCAAGACAGGTCAGAGTACCTACTATGACTTAGGCTAACCCCAGAGGATCAATTCATGAATAACTCTGCCATCCTCTTGGCTTTCTAAGCTGGATTATTCCAAAATTACTCTAACAAATCACGTCTTGGCTTTTATTAAAAAGGACAAAGGGGCATTTCCAACACTACTTTACCAGCATCAGGATGACAGGAGAGGCGTTATCTATTAGATTCCGTATTATACTGTGATTCCAAATTGCAACAAAGACACTTTGGAGTTCTGAGCAGGCAAAGCCCTTGAAAAACACTGAAGAGGTAGACGATGTAGAGGGATCATGAGCACCAAGTAGTAGAACAAAGAAAAAAATCAAAGTATTAAATTTATATGTGTTTATATAATTTTAAAAAATCATTTAATGTAACGTTTGAAAGATAAAAAACCTATTTGTCTCTCAAAATTGTCACTGATCTAAATTTACAGGGTATTTCTATTTTACTGGCTTTCCAAAGTCCCAAATTTTATTTCATGATTAAACCTCTCTACCTTCCACATAACCAACAATTAAAATTGCTTTATTATTTTGGATTCATATCTACTTTGTCTAATACCCTTCAACTTCTCTGCACCCCTCACCCTAGTGTCCCTCCAACAAAAATCCCAAATGGATTTACTGCAAAGTCACAGCTAGATCCCAAATCTGACAAATACTGCAATTCATGAGACACCTATACCACATTATCTATATTTGTACACTTTATTTAAAAACAAATAATACACTCCGAGCCACCAAAAATGTGTATCTTAATTAGCTTATCCATACCCTGAATTTACAAAGGAAACTTCTTACACCACAAAAGTTAGCATTTGGATTAATTTACATTAACCAATATAATAACTAAAATGTAAAATACCTGAAGATCAACACTCTGGCCCAGGGCTCACCAGCTGGGGGCTTGGGTGTGGAGAGAAAGGGTTACTTTGGATTCTAAACTGATGATACCTTGAGGTCAGCTCTAATACACTAAGGTTGAGGAGACATAAAATAACCAGTAGATTTTAGCATCACAAATAAGGGGTTCCTCCTAAAAACAGGTATTAGATAATACAGATGGGTGGGGGTTAGGGGCTATTTCTTAACCTGGAGTGGAAAAAGTATGTTTTCTCAGAAGAGGCCAACTTCAGCCAAACAATGAGGAGAAAGCAGAGGAGGAAGTATGTGGTAGACCCAAGACTTTCTAATGCTCATAATGCCAAATTTAGCAGCTCTCTACATGGCAGTTAAAATACCATTCTCTTGAGACATTTTCACAGAGAGCTAACATACAACAGGGGAGAAGTCATTCTGCATTAACAAGGCACTCACTGGTTCACAGCCTGCTACAATACACAGGCAGACATTAATCTAAATTAAAACAAACTTTCTAATTTGCTTCAATGGGATGACAAGTGTGTGGTCCCAGTTAAATCAAACCTAAAGCCTGATTAGCAAAATCCCAGAAAATTGTGTCCCTTAAGTACCAGTTCAGGAATACTGCTAGAATAAATGGAATCTACGGATCCTTTTGGTCTGACATTTGTGACTATTTTTATGACTAAAAAATTTATAAAGAATCTGTAAAATATTTTTTCAATCTGGACCCTCACACTGGTATTGACAACCAGTTGGATGATGGATGTGGCCAATTAAAAAGCTTTTAGTGGCAAAGGTAAAAGTGATGCAAATAAATGTTCTCCGCTTTCAAATACAGGTATGTTAGTTTTCTAGACTTTGCCCTAAAATGTAGGTTAGGAATTGGTACATTTCACAAAAATATACATATGTTAGTCAGCTACTACTTTTGTACAACCAGAATCCCAGTGCTGAACATTGCTATTATGTAAATAATTAAACAAGTAACATTAATGGAGGCAACTTCTGAGTAAATAAAACGAATGATCATATACTTAATAGGCTGGAAATAGCTTTCAAAAAAGGTTGAATAAAATTACAATTAAATCTTTTTTCATGTAAATTCAGTTAACAATGTCTGTTGGTTGAACACATCACACAGATACACACCAGAGATTATTTCCACTCATTAAAAACACTAATGGCTAAGTTTAAGCCACTCTTTCCAATGAAAACAAAAACTGATTCGAAGTCTTTCAATCTGACTCTGACAATACAACTTAAATGACAAAGCCTGAGAAAAGCACCAACACAGAATTTTAAATTGCATCCAACCATCATTTCAGATGTCCTAAAGTTTTACTTTAGTTAAAACGGCAGCAATGACAACGAGGTAGATATGAGAGATGCCATTTAAATACTTAAGACTATTTTTAGGTGGAATTTTAACTAGTTCAGGTGTTTAAAAATAACTTCTTCCTAGTTGAATCTTCGTCACATAACAATTTTATATGCTCTTGTCTAAAAGGGCGATAGATATATGTCTACTAAAAAAGTGACCTTTAAAAAATTACAATGTTAATGAGATGCCATAATTTAAGTGAACTAATAACTTCTTTCACCTGAACTTGACTATAATTAAACAATAGCTATTTATTCTCTACTGAAATTTCTAGTAATTCACATTCAAAATTCCTCTAAAGTATATATGGTGCTCAGAAGAGCACAAAGACAGCGCATGAAATGTCCCCTGAAGTCCTAGAGGTTGAGCAGATATATTAAAAAGACATTGACGGTCACAAATCAGGACCTTCACAGATTGGCAAGCACACACACAAGCACACGCACACGCACACGCACTTGCTCTCCCCTTCTCTCCCCCTTGCACTGTCCCCCTCCCACCCCCGGCACAAACTCGATCTCCATCCTCACTTGTAAGGCTGCATTTGTACTTTTTTTTTTTTTAAAGGCACCTCTCATCTTCTAGCTATTGCCTTCTCAATGATTTATATTTTGTTAAAAAGCCTGAATGTTCAATGAAAATACTTCAGTACTGAGAATGGAATATTTTTCAATTCACATTTGAATAGCCAGGTTTTCTTACATTCAGATTTTAATAAACTAGAATGACAGTTTTTAAAACAAGCATGCTAGCCTATAATGAATTAGAGTATATACAGTAATTTAAACATTTAGAACTATATTATACTGCAAAAGCACAACACTTGTCATATTCATTATCTGCTGTGTACACTACCTCCCAAAATGAAAATACAAAACAGTAAAATGCACCTATGGTTTATATATATATATATATATATATAATATAGTCTATATATTATATATATTCATATAATATATATAATATATATTTATAAAATATACATACATTTTAGACATTTTCAAATAAATCTTCATCATTATCTCCAAAAGAAATTTATACCAAGAATACTGAAGGATGAGAGTCAGATAAACAAAAAATTTCTCACAAAGTTCATTATCAGTGATGCAGCTTAACTTCCTCCCTTTAGTCATAACTAAAATGATTATAAAAGCTAAATACTTTACATAACTAATTATCTGTTTAATGGCAAAAATTGCTAAATTTGTTCAATAGAAAAATACTGAAGGTTATTGTATCACTCATGTTAAATATTTGTCTATGGTTTGAGTAGCAAATGAGCTCCACATGACAGCTGAGTTTTGAAAAGGGTACTGCAAGCTCTCAGAGATGCATCCTTAGCATATGAAAATAAGGTAGGGACCCATGCCACCTGATTTTCATAATATCCCAATACATTCCTCCAAAATATTTACAATTCAAGCATTATGAAAGCATTTCAATGACTGAATTTTCAATTTGTTCATTTTGTCAATTTCCATGGAATTTTCAATAGGATGGAGGCAAAGTCAGACACCTATATACGCTACCATCTGACTGGAAGACAGCTTTGGCTCATTTCTAGGCTGGGTTGATACAATGCTAGTATATAAGAATCTTTCTATGTACAGTCTTGAGGGGTAGAGCACTGGCTTCTTAAGAACTTTGAACAGTTCCATTATTTGCACTGTTAGTACATCTCTAGGTTATTTTCTACTTACTAACAGAAAAACTGCAACCATGGGTATGAAACAAACAGGGAAAAAGACCATTTTGGTTTTCAGAATTTCTGTGATATAAGGAAAGCAGGGGCTGGGGATTTAGCTCAGCGGCAAAAGCGCCTGCCTGGCAAGTGCAAGGTCGTGAGTTCGGTTCCCGGTACCGGAGAAAAACCAAAAAAAAAAAAAGTTTAAAAAAAAAAGGAAAGCAGACACTGAAGATTTTGAAGGTAATTAAAGCAACTGGTAGAACAATAGCTTTGTGGTCATCCATTAGTATGGGCACCTGATTGGGATTTCCCAGGATCATACAAATGTTAACAATACCTTTCTTCACTTCATGAAGAATAGACAGGAATTTACTAAACACAATGTAGAATTCTACATATGCAGGGAAATACAAGCTTACATCCAGGTTAACTCACTTGATTAAATAAAATCTTTCAAGCCCGCTCATTAACCAAAGCATGAGGATAAAGTATTTTCAATTATTATCCATGTCACAAGATAATAATTATCTTAATGGGTTAAATACTTATGGATATAATTTGAAGATTGAGAGCCTCTGGTATGCACATTTTAATGAAAAATGGACACTTGACAATTTATTTTTAATATTTAGATTAGGTTTTGTCATTTGAAGCAAAGGAAAAAAGAGTATGAAGAGGAGCATAGCAGTTGAAAGGACCAGAGTTGCAGGACAGGGCCCTAAATATGGTAATAGTCATCAGAATCTCAAAAGCCTATGGGTCATAGGTCAAGTGGGTTCAGAAACAATATTAATTTACTGCACATCAAAATGTGTATTCTAATTAAAAAGAGAGAGGGCCTTTTAATCAACATCGGTATTACACTATTCCATTCAGATTTTCAAGAGATTCTTCTTAGAGATACTAACAGAGGACTTCTAGGGTATAAAATTTTGTTTTATTTGGCAATGCTGTAAAAGCAGCTGCCTGACACTAACCATACTCTTTGGACTTTTAAAACATAATAATTATGAACTATTTTTATTAGGTGTCAGACAACATGAATGTGGGAAAAAATGAAGATAGATGATGTGGAAAGCACAGTTATGTGGGAGTTAACAAATGAATACTAGCAATTAACTTCTGTCTTTTTTAGTCACAGAAAGGTAAAATTGCATCAGAATGAAATAATCACTCTGGTACTATAACTATCACACAAATAAGGTAAATTTTAAAATAGAAATTATTATAAAGAAATGCCTGTTTACCCTTAAAAATAAACAGAACCTTTAATTTAGATACTTTAGTAAAAGTAGACTCTCAACTATTCTTCAGAAATGTTCAATGTTCAATAGCTAAACTTTAGAATGGTACCAAATCTACTTTCAAAACTGTTAAGTATCTGCTTACAAATATTTGTTCAGCATTTACGAATATTAATTTATGAAACACATTATTGCATTTTTGTCCTTAATAGGTATAATCTTTGTCATGTGTTTTATGCAAATAGTTTCAAGGGGAGCTAAACTAAAAGTTCATTTTAACAATGGTCTGGTCATTATAAATGATGGGGCTAGTACCGCAGATAATAAAGCTCACTGTTTTGACTACCTAATATGTTTACCAGGATTTCTCAGGGGAGAAGTAGGTGTAGGTTTTTGTTCTTCCTCTATCATTTCCAGCCATTGAACTTTTAATTATCCACACTACATCACGTCTCATTTCCTCAATAAGGACAAGCTAAACCTGTGTTTCTTCAGGTCCGCCTAGTGAATTAGAACTTCAGAAGTAAGTGTCTCTGGGGGAAATTTGAAACAGTTTTCAGATTCAACTGAGCTTGCAGCAACCTGAACAAACCTCAATTTTAGAAAATAGTACAGGAATTGCAAAACTATACTTTAACAAATGTTTTCTGTGCTCCTTCAGCAGAACAAAAGGGCAGGGACAGTTGATTTTTCCCTGGTCTTCTGTATCTCTTTTGTGCAGTTGATTTATTTATAAAGAGCTAGAGGGTGAAGATGACGCATCATGTCATACAAAGACTTTAGCCAGTGCATCAGCTCCAGCGCTGGCTATATAGCATTTGGATGGGTGGAAAGCTACATCATGAATTGATTCTTCAAATTTTTTCCGATGAGCTGTGAACTCTTGGATACATGTCTTACTTTCTAGATTCCATAAACGTATTGAACAGTCATGACCTATATCAAAGAAAAACAAATTGAAAGGAATAATTATATTAACATGAAAATGATAAGGACAAATACATAATCCATAGTTAATGTACTTACTGCCAGACATCAAGTAGAGGCCATTAGGATCAACTGCTAAACTTGTAACGGCTTCTAGGTGGGCTACCATTGAATGGATCAGTTTGCCTTTGGAAAAAGAGATTATTACTCTCTATTGATGATTTTCTCCATCTTAAAGATATGCCAGCCATCACATTACACTGATTGCTCCAGTCATCCCCTTCTATGTCCTTACTGTATCAACAACTTTTTCTACCAGCTAAAACAGTACATGTTGCTCTCCTGCCTCTAGTCACGGTACTGATGAGGAAAAAAAAACAGCTCAAATTTCAGATTACACTTTTGTCTTTTAAACCACAAAATAGAACTCAGTAATTTTTATATGGTCATTAACAAGAAGGTGGACAATAATCACCTACTTTTCATCTCTTTAGCTTCAGACAAATTATGACTTGATGGGAACAGAGGATACAAATTCAGAGGAAACTGAGACAAACACAAAGAAACAGGAAACGTACACAATTTTGGTGGAAACAACATATACAAAGTTAGAAACATAAATTACTAATTGTCATCAGCTCAGCATGGTCAGCAAAAGTCATCATTTTTATAAAGGCCATCAACAGATGGTCAGGGAAATATGGCTGCTAATATAGAGTGCTTTCTTGCCAGTGCAGCTCTTCATGAAATTTCCTTTACATTGGAGAAGTGCAATCCAGTAAGATTTCCAGGAAGGAAAGCCCCACGCCCAATTCAAAGAAATCAGGACCAAAATTTTATTATAAAATAGAAAAAATAAGCACATGGGAAAACTAATAAAACCAAATGATTTTGCAGGTTTTTATTCGCAACACTGAATAGCACCAATCAATAACAAAATAACTATATACTGAATAACTGTATTCCATAATTAAAGAATTTTAAACAAAATATAATCATACATCTCTATTTCCAACCTATTTCTCCATTCTGCTCATGTACTGCAATAGATCAAAGGAACAGATCATTTTTATTACTGTTTGAATTAAACTTTTCATAACAACCCTAGTGATAACTCTGGCTCTCAGGCCTAACTATATCATCTACTCACCATTAAACAAGCCACAATGATTCTATGTTGTATAATGAGGATCAGTCTTAGCATATCTGAATGGAATGAACAGACACTAAGCCAGGAAAGTATTTCTCAGAGCCTACTTCCTGCCTATCAAGGCATCAAACACAAACAATTAAACTACGTTTTAGAAGGGAAATTTTTTTTTTGCTTTTATCAAAAATGAATTCTTAATACATTTTTACCTGTATTGTTATCATAGAATTTGATGTGTCTATCTTCATGAGCAGTGATACTGATCGGAAGAGTGGGATGACTGATGACTCTATTTATTTGGCAGGAGGAGCTAGACACTAAAAAGTAAAAATTTAAAAATTAATTTTTTTAAATAAAAATTAATCCAAACTATTTTTTGACAAAGGTGCCAAACATGTTCATTAGAAGGATAGCCTCTTTAATAAACAGTACTGGAAAAACTGGTTTTCCACAAGCTGAAGACTAAAACTACACCCACGTCTACCACCATATACTAATGTCAAAATGGATCAAAGAGCTAAGTATGAAAACAGAAACACTAAATCTTCTATAAGACAAAATAGGTAGAACTCTAGAAGACAGAGGTATAGGCAAAGACTTTACGAACAAAACTCCAATCATACAGGAATAATCAACAAATGGGATTTCATCTTATTAAAAAACTTTTGCATAGCAAAAGAAACCACCAACAGAGTGAAAAGACACAGTGGGAAAAAATTTATGCCAGCTGTTCTTCAAAGGACCACTATCTAGAACATATAAAAAACAGAAAAAAATTCAGACCCTCCAAATTAAAAGACCAATCCAAAAATGGGTATCTGAGATGAATACACATTTCTCAGAAGTACAACTGGCAAATAAATATATGAGAAAACATCCAATATCACTGATCATTGTGGAAATGCAAATTAAGAAAACACTGAGATTCCATCTTATTCTGGAAAGAATGGCTATTATCAAGAAAACTACTAACAACAAATGCTGGAGGGCCTGTGGGTTAAAAGGAACCCTTCTCCACTGTTTATGGGAGTATAGACTGGTGCAACCACTGTGGAAATCAGTGTGGAGATTCCTCAAAAAACTAGGATTAGAGGTTCCACTTGACCCAGCTATTCCCCTTCTGGGTATCTTTCCAGAAGAACTAAAAGTATCACACCACAGTGATATATGTGTACCTATGTTTACAGTGGCATAGCTTGTAATAGCTAAATGTTGAAAGCAACCCAAATGCCCATCAACCAGTGAATGGATAAAAAAGATATGTTTTTTTGTTTCTCTTGTTTTTTAAAGGAAAGAACAACTGGGATGGAGGAAAGGAGAAAAGAAGGAGGACAAGGACACGGACGGACACACACACACACACACACACACACACGATAGCTAAGATAACTGTACTACTAATTTCTATTGGTTTATTGAAAGAAACTGTTAATGCTTAATTGTTTGATCAATCTTGCATACCTATATCTGGTAATCTGAGCAACGACTTTGAAAATAACAATATGTAATATAACAACCATTGTTACTTTCCTATCACCTTGTTTTGAAATTCTGTGTAATTTTTATTGCTTTTTGTTATTTTGTTTTGTTTTTTTGTATTTTCTCTTTAAAATAAAATTTAAAAAAATAAGGAAGAAAATTGAGACATAGCTAAATGGATGAATCCTGAGACCAAAATTATAAGTGAAACAAATCAGACACTGGGATGGAGGAAAGGAGAAAAGAAGGAGAATAATATTGCATTATCTCTCTGGTGTGAGAAACTCAAAAGTAAGAACAAAAATGTACAATAGATTTTGTGAAAAAAGAAACTATTCAAAAGGAAAAAGGAACTAGGGAAGGGCGAGGGGGAAAGGAAAAAAGGAAAAGAAAACAATGAGAAAAGAAGGCTAACATGAAAATAGAGCTTTGTGAATAGGGAGGGAAAGGGGGTTTGAAAGGAGGGATAGGAATAAGAAAAAAAAAAAAGGAGGAATCAAGATATATCATGTATAGATACAAATTCCCTATAATGAATGTGATCATTATGTATACCTAAACTGTACCATAAACTTAAAAATTAATCCAAAGTATTTTTTCACATATAGAACTGAACACTCACCTAAAAGGAAGAAAAAGTAAGGCAACTTTAGGTTGCTCTTTAGTTCATTTATTGTCTTATTCTTTCCATAATTTCAATGTTAGGAAATGAGAACTGCCTGAGCTACATTATACTGACATATCTAGCTACTGGTATGTAAGAATTAGAACTTCCTATTCTATTAACTATCACCTATGGATGCCATCTAAGGCTTGCCTAACCCCAATAACATTTTTCATTCCATACTGCTCTTGATATTTTTGCTGCTTTACAAAGGTTCCATCATCACTTGCATGCAGATAATCTTCACATTTAAATCTCACCTCATTTTACATACAGAACTCTGTAATGGAGATTTCAATGATACAATGAACCATGAACCATAACCTATTCTAACTCCACTGCCACCAGACGACTCAGCAAATCAGATAACTGTCTAAGCTGCTTCCTAGTTATCACAGTTTCTTTGGAAGCCTTTTATTAAAAGAGAATCAATAATTAAGAAGAATTTAAGTTTAGGGGGTTTTGCTAAGATACTTTTGTAAGAAAAATCCACAAATACAACACTAATTTAAGATATGTCATGAATGAATGTTGGGCTTTACCAAAAGCTTTTTCTGCATCTATTGAGATGATCATGTGGTTTTTGTCTTTACCTCTGTTGATATGGTGTGTTACATTTATTGATCTGCATATACTGAACCATCCCTGCACTCCAGAGATGAATCCCACTTGATCATGGTTTATAGTCTTCTTGATGATTTGTTGCATTCTGTTTGCTAGTACTTTATTGAGGAGCTGTGTATCTATGTTCGTTAGGGAGACTGGCCTGTGGTTTTCTTTTTTGGTTGGGTCTTTCTCTGGTTTTGGTAATACTTGCCTCCAGGAATGAGTTAGGGAGATTGCTTTCCTTTCAATTTCATTAAAGAGCTTGAGGAGTATTAGCGTTAAATTTCTAAATTTCTTGTAGAATTCAGCTGTGAATCCATCAGGACCTGAGCTTTTCTTTGTTGGTAAGCTTTTCATTACATTTTCAATTTCACTGACTCACACTGAGTTATTCAGAATTTTTATATGTTCTTGATTCAGGTTTAGTAATTTGGAAGAATTCAAAACCTCATACCACAGTGATATATATGCACCCATATTTACAGTAGTATAATTTGTAATAGTTAACTCTTGAAAACAATCCAAATGCCCATCAACCAAGGAATGGATAAAAAAGATGTAGTATTTTTATACAATGGAGTATTACTCAGCTATAAAGAAAGATAAACTAGAGGCTTTTATAGATAAATGAATGTAACTAGAAACCACACTTATAAGCGAAATAAATCAGACTCATGTGTAAACAACATATTGTCTCCCTAGTGTAAGAAACTGAAAGAGTAGATAAGATACAAAAGGTACAACGGGTATCATGAAAGGGAAAGAAACTGCTCAGAAAGAACTAGGATAGGGAAAGGAGGAAAAAATACACACACACACGTGATAGCTGTTAAAGGTACTACTAATTTCTACTGATTCAATGAAAGGAATAGTTGGTGTTTATACTGTTTGATCAATTTTGCATGCCTGTGTCTGGCAATATGAGCAACTACTTTGAAGATAACAATATGCAATATAATAACCACTGTTAATTTCCTATCACCTTGTTTTCAAATTCTGTACAGTTTTGTTTTCTTTTATTATCTTTAAAATAAAATATGTCAAAGTTTTTAAAAAGTTGTTATGTCACTTCCTAGGGAAAGGAAGGGATGTCCTCATAACAGAGGCCAAGTGGCAAAATTTGAATATGAATAGCAACTCAGAATGCAATATTGAATCAATGTTAATTTTTCTGATTTTTATCATTTTAATATGCCTTAGGAATTATATGCTAAAATATCTAGGGTAATAGGGGCATATCTCTCAAATGGTTCAGAATTATACACATATACAGAGAGTGAAAAGTACATGAAGCAAATGTTAAAAACTAGTGAATATGAGCGATGGCCAGCCAGGAATTTTTGTACTACTTGCAACTTTTCTTTGTACTATTTTACAAGTTTAAAATTATTTCAAAATAGCTTAAAAAACTAAATCCTACAATAGGAATTATAAGTTTACATTCACATAATAGAAAATATGCTAAAAATAGCCTAATCCTACTGGATTTTCATTTTGTTCTTATGTGGTTCTTAAAAACTAAAGATATTCTAATGGCAGGTGGTCACCCATCCTGTTATCTAAATACAGAACAAAAATATCACTTGATGGCATGGGCTAGTTCTTGGTCAGTTCTACCTGATTTAGATAATCTGAAACAAAGAGATGGTTACCTGCTTAGTTTCAAATTCATACTATATATATTTTTACCAGAGATAACACGCCATTAAGCCATATAGTTTGTAATGTTTAGCAGGAGAAAAGAATAACAAAAGAGAAACCCTGTAAGTGAAATATATGTCCCGAGAATAAAGCTTCAATTACTTTGAGAGCTAGAAATGAATATGGTGGAAATCAACTCCTGGAAGGAAGCTATAAAACAAGAAGTCTTCCATAATAATCCTTTTGAGAAAGTTTCTCCACTTTATGGCAAATCAGAGAAGTATGCAAATGCAAAGAACACTAGAAATAAACCGAGCCTAGCTGTTTTAACAATGAATCCAAAAAACAATCCTCCAAATAGCTTGCAACTTAGAAATGATTACCTTTTCAGTGGGTCAAGAAGTATTAAGTACCTCTGCCTTTATGAAAAGGGTAATTATTCTTATTCTAGCTACATCCTTTAAATGTACATTTAAACCTCTATATGAAATTTACTTTCTCTCTGATGCACGTTTAGTTTGAACTCTAATCAAAAACAAAACATATCTGAAATCCTGCCAAATTCCAAAGTACAACAGTATAATCAAATAGCAAAGGGGTAGGTCAGAATAGAATGGAATAAAATATGTCATTATAATATATTACAACTCAAAATAATTATCATTTAGTCCAATAATGTTGCTTGGTTAAAAACATTTCTCACAGTCTTTTGGAAATGTTTCCAAAAGCAGAAAAAATGTCTTACAACTCTATGAAAAAATGGCATAAACAATCTAGTTCAATTTATCTATCTTACCCACCAAACTTTACAATAACTTTATAGCAGACATTAAAAATCAACATCTGTCCCTCAGGAATTTCAAAGAAGTAGCTATAATCTCAAAGTAATTTCAAAAATGCTTATATCTTTCCTAATTTCATATTGCCTTTTAAATTTTACTACTGTACTTTAGATCATATATTTACAGGTGATTTTATTTATTGAAAATCTAAAGCCCATATTTTTTCATTTAAAAAAATTCACTTTTTCTAATTCCATAATCTCAATTTTTATTGTCCTGCTTTTATCTTTTATATCCCAATAGCTCCAAGTTCTATTCACGCCAACTTCTCCACATAAATCCTTCAGCATATCAGAAGAAAACCAAGAACAACAGATTAGTAAGGGAAAATGAAAGCCAAAAATAGGATAAGTGAAATTTTTGAAAAGGAAACTGAAGAGGCAGAAGAGAAAGATAAGCAAACACATATGTGCACATATACCTTCATGTGTACATGTTCACACACCAGCACTTGTACACACGTGCACGTAATTATTTTCAAAACTAATTTTCAAATTGAAATGTGTAAGCAGTTTTCTTTATCAACTGCAATCTAAACTGCATGCCTGGATTATGACTAACTATAGAAAGCAAATTGCTTAACCAAAAAACCACCAAAAACTAGAAAGATCTGTAATAGCTTCTTTATAATCTAAGAAACATTTTCTGACTTTCTACATCTAAAAGAAGTTTCAGGTTTGAGATTCTGAAAGCCATGTGACCTATATTCTAATCAGTGTTGAGCTGTATCCAGTTATACTATTAAAATAAAATTAACAATGAAATAATAAAATAAAAATAGATTTTATATTCTATTCAGAATAAATACTGCTTTCTTACAGTAAAACTGAAAATTAATCAGTTGACATAAAATTAGACTCAAAAAGTAAAATTAACTTTACACATCTGTGGAATACTCAAATGCTATTTTACATAGTATAGTTATAAATGTACATAAACAACTCACCCTTAAGTCTACTGTAAATCATTATATTCTTCTAAATCAGTGTGTTCTGAGATTTAGAAGGCGTAACATTTTAAGGATAGCAGTTATAATCTAAACTAAAAATTGATCCAAACGTAGACTATTTAAAGTTGGTATACATACTTGAATCTAGATTGGATTCTAACGTGAGAATACGTTGCTGTGTCTCCATATTGAAGATGCTCGTATATCCTTTGCTGAATGATGCTACCATATGGCTTGGGTCACTGCTCACTAGATCCACTGAGGCAGGGATTCCCAATTCTAAAAGAGTTAGGACATATTCAGAGAATAGCAATAAAAAGGTTTACTTGCAAATGTGATAGAAGTACAGGAGAACAAATATAATGGTATGATTTCTTTAAAAGTAAATAAAGCTTACCATTAGAACAAGAATCAGCTAATAATCATTCAATAAAGATTTTTTTTTGATAATGTTTAGCCTTATTCTATTTTACTATCATTACATGCTTTGTCTTTTATTATTCTACTAGTATATTCATGGAGTGCAAACTTAAATTTAAACAGCAAACAGAAAACAAACATGGATTACAATTTTGCAGCTTCTACCTTAACACGGGGCTTAGAGTGGTATAATGGAAATTCTTCACTTAAAAAAAAAAAGCATAAGCCAGACTGGTGGCACACGCCTTTAATCCCAGCACACAGGAGGTTGAGGCAGGAGGATCACTGAGTTCCTGGGCACAGCGATCCTCCTAAGTTCAAGGCCAGCCTGAACTATGGACAGAGCTAGCAAGACCTATCCACAAACACAAACACACACAAAAAAAAAAAAAAAGAAGAAAAATCTATCCTGGGTTGGCAGTGTGGCTCAGGGATAGACAACCCTAGCTTGCATGAAAATCCTAGGTTTGATCCCTAGCACCACAAGAGAATAAACGTCATGATATTAATGCAATCAACTCATCAAAATCTAAAGACAAATTACGCTAACTGAGTAAAGGAAGTATTTTTATTTACTATCTAGAATATTTAAAACTTGGGAGCTTATTTATAAACATGAAAATAGAATATATAAAATAAATATAATAACCTGACTTTTATTTGGCTCAATATATAACTAAAACAAGCTAACATTCAAAAATGTGTGTAATGCAGAAGTTAAATGGCCAATAAGAAAACAAAAAAAAGTTCTCAACATAATTAGCCATCAAAGAAAAGCAAAACTTAAAACTAAAATGAAACGTAACTACACATTCACCACAATGGCTAAGTTAAACTGACAACATCTTACCAATATTAGCAAGCACGTAGAGCAAACTGAAACTCTCATACGCTGCTGTTAGTAGTAGAAAGTGCCATAATCACTTTGAAAATAGCAACTCTGCCCATAACAGCTCAAAATTGAAACAACTCAAGTGTCTTTAAGTGTCTTTGTCAAGAGGTAAATTAATAGATAAATTATAGTTTAGTAAAGTATTATTAAATAGTAAAGAGAAACACAATAATTTGCAGAAAAATTTGTAAAAATTAGATACAAAAGAGTGCATACTAGATTATTTCATTTGTATGAAGTTTTAGAAAAGATAAGCTAATTTATGATGAAAGAAATCACAACAATGCATACCTCTAGCTGGGAAGGAAGAGAGGGGATTGAATGGAAAGGACACAAAGGAGCACTGGGAAGTGAAAAAACTATTTTGCTTCTTGATCTGTGAGTTACAGGATTGTACTCTTCATTAGACACATTGAAATGTACTCTTAACATCTGTATTTTCCACTACATATGTTATGCCTCATTTTAAAAAATATAAAATCTGTATTCTCACCAAGTCTTGTACTTTTAAGAATGACATGTAAGTTGGAAATTCAAACAATTACACTTTTGTTCATTCAAAAAACCTTCAAATTAAATTTAAACAGCAAGAGTTCATAGAATCATTTATTAATTTCTTACTTTTATAATGAGATTTTTAGTAACACATTCAGCACAATAAAATTTTAAAGTGTATACCTTGATTATCATTAAATACAGTGAGTGCTGGAGCAACCTCAGTTGTGTTCCATAAACGAAGAGTGCCATCTGCTGAACAGGACAACAAACGCTGATGTGCCGCACTGTAAGCCAAACCCCAAACTGCATCTGTGTGGCCTAGCAGAGGGCCTCTCAAAACAGAAGGATCTATTCAAAAGAGCAAAAATGCAAAATTAGGAGAAAAAAATGGTAAAGATACTTAGGTTCCAGGGAAGGTAAAACACATAAACAAAAGCACATGATAACAATACAAAATATACTGCCTAGTTTCAATTACCCCCCCCACCCCCGTACTGGGAATGGAGTGATTATTCTTTTGAAATGCAGTGATTAAAAACAGAATTAGAAATATACAAATGTAGAGCTTAAAGCTTTAAAAATAAAAAGCACATATTTGTCATCCTAAAATATTAAGTATATCCTTGCTTTTTTAGTCTTCTCATTCACTTAGTTTTTTTTTAAAGTATATTAATATAAATCATTTGAATTTAATCTACCTTTGGAGATATCACAACTCATGTTCCCTAAGAAAGCAAACAGAGGTCTGTCCTTCCTTCCTCTGAATTTCTTTAGCACTTTGACTATATTCCTCCGGCTACTTCTCCTATCGTACAACGGACAGTAGTTATTCCTGGGAGTACCTAGGGAGCATGACTTTTATAGTGGACAGGAACTGAAACCTATAGGAATACCCAAACCCTCACACGGTAGCAACCAAGGTGTGAGGATGTGTACACAGGGACAGGTGGAGGGTCACTATGCACAGTTTCATGCTAACAGTTAAATTGGAAACTTTATTAATCTTCACAAAGATTCTATGAAGTGGTGACTTTAAGATGGCTCACTAGTGTTAAGTACAGAAATGCCAATAGTGTTGTATGTCTCACATCCTCAAAAGTACCATAAAATATTTACTTAAGACTGTGTATCAGACGCTATGATGGATGCTGGTGCCACACACATGATTAAGACACAGAACTATCCCTGTCCTCAAAACACAATACTAAAAGTACAGTAACTGACAGATACCAATTACCACAGAAACTAAATGGGAAGATGAAAACCTCTCAAAGATAGTGGCATCTACAGCATACAGATATCAACCAATCAGAGAATAGAGGGAAGGTATCCCTGGCAAGGTGACAGCATCTACAGAATTACAGAAGGAAAAGTAGTCTGATGATACCAGGAAATTTACGAGCAATTCAATATTGCTGGAGTATGGCATCTGAGGTAGGGAAAGGATGAGATAAGGGCAGTAAGTTTACGACAGGGTGTCTATATGACACATTAAGGAACTTGGAAATTATCCTGAAAGCTATCTGAGATTTGGTTAAGAATTTCCCAGAAGCAGTAGGTAGATCAGTTGAGTTTTTAATAAGGTAACCTTGCTGTGGTATAGAAGACAAACAGTCAGAAGCAAGATAAAGGGACTGGTTGGTAAAATGGAAAAGTGATCATAAAAACCTAAGGTACAGCAAGGTTACATGGGCCACAGCAGAAGGAGTAAAGTCAAGAAATACTTAGGGAGTTGTACTACAAAAATTAGAGAATAGGCTACGGATAGTATGTTACAACAAGGAATCAAGGAAAACTTAGATTTCTAGTTGGGGTTAGGTTAGTTTCTAGTAGTCCCACCAACTAAACAAGAAGAAACACAGAACATGCTGAAATTTAAGGATAATGAGACAACCATATTGAAATTTCTTGCCAGGCTTGGTAGTGCATGCCTACAATCCCAATACTTGGGAGGCTGAGGCAGGAGGACTGCCAAGAGTTCAAAGCCAGCCTGGGCTACACAGTGAATTTAAGGCCAGTTTCAACTGCATAGTGAGGCCCTGGCTCAAAAAAAAAAATTCTTAGATTCTGGAGCTTAAAAACATTTATTAGTCAACAGCCTAGAAAGCCACAGATATAGACTCAGTCTACCAAGGAATGCACACTGCAAAGAATGAGTTAAGGCCTGGGTCTTGAAAAATAACACTGCTTAAGGCAAGAAACATAAAAGGACTCCACAAAAGAGAGAAAAAAGAAATCATCCCAAACTGTCAAGCCAATATATAAAGTTGTAAAAGAATAGAAGTCTAAAATGGAACTAAGAATGGGACTCTAAAAGAGTGGAACGTTTTCAATTACAGCTGACACAGCTAATAAAAATAAGGGTTGTCAAATATTCTTGGATTGGGTAATTAGAAAGTCACTGACAATCTCGCTATATTTAAGTGATATTCCTAGAAGCCATAATGCTCAAAGATGATCCAAGGGAAAGGACATGAAATTCTTAACTAGTAATACATTTTCTAGATAACACCATCAAAGAAACACTGATGATGAAGAAACCAGACTACACAGAAGCTAGAGGGGAACAGACAGGGTCAAGAAAATTGGGTCAAGTATGTGCCATGCTCTCACCCAGAATTTACTTCAATGCTGAGGGGACAGAGAAAGAGCAGAGAGGGGAAAGTGTTGTTGGTGTCACACACCTATAATCTCAGCACTCTGAGAGGTTGAGGCAGGAAAATCACAAGTTCAAGCTCAGCCTGGGCAACTTAGTAACTTAGCAACACCCTGCTTAAAATAAAAAAGTGCTGGGGATATAGCTAGCGTGAAGGCCCCTAGGTTCCACCCCACCCTTCCAAAAAAAAAAAAGGTTGGGGAATTTTTATTTCTTACATTTATCAATATAAAGTGATAATGAAACTAGAACAGGCTTTTATAATAAATACAAAATGCTAAACCTTTTAACAGAAAACCATTTAACATAAAACAAAAACAGCCAATTCCTAAACAGTATTTCTATGACACCTCAGGAAACATTTAGTGAGGGATTATAGTATGTATTTATGACTTATAATACTACTCACAAGACTAACAGGCACTTCTTAATTTTTGATGCCTTTTAAATATTTTGGTAGCAACAGCTTTACAACGTATTACCCTATATCTTCTTTAATAATTGATCAAGGGAATAATGGCAACATTAATTTTCCTTTAGTTTTCTGTCAAAAACAGTAATGAATATGATTTTAGATTAGTAATTTTATATCAAATACCATACAAATGTCTAAGATGCAGAAAACAATTGTCAATCAGGCCAATATTTCTGATCAATAAGACTTCGGAGGACTGGGAAATGTTTTCTAAATAAGAATTTTTTTTTTCCTTTGTCAAAATGATTCCCAAACATAGGAGTTCTTTTTAACAAAATAGATATGCTTCTCTTTTACCTATCTAGTCTCAAAAATATCTGATTTATTCTTTATATACTATGAAAACATGTGTAAGGATCCAATATTTTGTTCTTTCAGAACTCTGAGACATCACATACCATAAGAATCATAGGGATCGATGTTGGGATTAGTGGTATTCCAGCCCTGGATCAGTCCATCAGTACCACCACTATAACACTGCTCACCACTGCTGCTCATTACCACACAAAGCACCGGACCTCTGGGATATGAAATAAATTAAACAGGTAAGTAAGTAAACTGCTATTCTCAAAAATCAATCTTATCTATGACTTGTCAAAAATAAGAATGCATATTCAAATGGCTTTCCATTTTTCTGCTTTTTACAATGAATAAAAATATTATCAAAACGTTGTTCATACGGCTGGAGATATAGCTTAGTGGCACAAGTGCCTGCCTGGCAAGCAAAAGGTCCTAAGTTCAATTCCCAGTACAAAAAAAAAAACATTGTTCAGTTTTCTTCCTTTGATAAAACCGGAGGTTGTAAACTATGGTTTCCAGGCCAAATTCACCCAGTAGTCTGTTTCTGTAGTTAAGAATGGTTTCCAAAGGGTTGAAACACAAAAAACAAGAACATGTTATAGAAGGACATGGGTTCAATCCCAGGACCAAAAACAAAATACAACTCAATATAACACAACACAAACCAATAATATGCAACAGAAAGCACACAGCCTAAAAAAATTGACTATCTTATCATTTACATATAAAGTATGCCAATCTCTGCGCTAAACCAAGTGGACAGACATGTATGCCCTTACACTCATAAAAAAATGTGATCACTATAAAAATATCCTTAGGTAGTGCTAGGGACAAAACCAAGGGCCTCACATATTCTGGGTACACATCCACTTGCTAAAGACCCAGTCTGCTGGGCGTAGTGGTGCACACCTATAATCCCAGTACTGGGGAGGCTGAAGGAGGAGGATTGTTGAGAGTTCGAGACTAGCTTGGGCTACAAAATGAGCTCAAGACCAGCCTGACTGCATAGCCACCCTGTCTCAGAAAGAGAAAAAAAAAAAAAGACCCAGTCTGAATACTTTTATATATGTTATCTTTAAGTGAAGGAAAGAAAAAAACAAATCTGCTTCAACTTTAAAATACACCAACATATACCATTTAAACATCATGAAAAAAAGATTCAGCAAAGATCTCTAATTTGGGAGCAATAAACTTTTTAGCGTATTATCTGCTGGTTCCTTCTATAGTCACAAAAAACAATATTCAGTACAAAAAGTACATGACAAAATACATAAGTGAAAGAAAATACCCTAATCAGACTGTTTATACAATGACGTTGGTGTAAAATGAAGAAAAACCACACACTTACTTATGAGCCCTGAATGTATAGATGGGCTCTACGTCAAGAGAAGTACTCCTAAAACAGAGAGTGAAAAAACATTATTCAGTAGTAAGCAGAATGAATGTGTCATAACAAATGCTTTTAGAGGTAAGGACACTATGGTAATATACAATTCTCAACTACTAGATACATAAGAAAGCTTACCTATCTCAAATAAAGCTTACCAATCCAACATGTCAAAAAACTAGCTTGTCAGTAGTAATACCCTGTTATAATGCTGTTAGCTTTGACATTATCTATTTGACTACAAGAAGAGAGACTTTCACTCAGAAAAAACAACATGGGCTTTGAAGGGATCAGTCTGCGAATTCCATTTCCAGTTCTGACATTAACTGGGTAACTTTACATAAATTAGTCTATGATAACTTGAGATTCCTCCATATTCAAAATAACAGAGAAAAATGGATATAGCAAATACTATGAAATTAAATGAGATTCTACAATTTAAAAAAGCCTACAGGACGGATTTGAAATCCAAATAGGATTTCAACAAATGGTATTTAATTTCCTTGTCATTCCATGAAGGTTAATAAGTTTATCCTTAATACTTTACAAACTATCCAAGTCATTAGTTTATTTATTACTAAGAATACCACTATAGGCACACCACATTATCTAACAGACCATGACTACTGATGGAAACTGGATTTAAAGTGAAGTCCTTACCACTTTCTAGGCATGTGTTACAGTTACTTATAGGCATACACTATCTCTCCTCAAGTCATTTTGAAGTTTTAAGTTTAAAGGTAAACAGGCCACTGTTACTTATATGTGAAGGTTATGGTTATTTTTTTAATACAATATCACCAGCAAGAAACTCAGTTCAGTATTTTTCTAAATTTTATGTCAAAAATATATGAGCCATTCATATTTCTAGCTTAATGCAACTGTGCTAGAACTAGCACATTGTGACCAAAAAACTAGAAAAGCAAAAGTCATGATATGTAAACAGAAATTTTTCAAAATTTTCACTGCTGAAAATTATCAAGCCATTTGGTTTTACCAAGATCAGATTGTACTATCTGTTACAAACTGTTAAATCAAGTATTTTATCTACTCTATGTATGACTCACAGTATGAGTATCACTGATTTCTTTAAAATTGCTAACACGTTTCCAAGAGCAGCAGTACAATTTCTGTAACCTTTTTCCATTTGATATTCAGTTGCACTGTTATAATAACAAACGTGACTGAGACTGTATAAAACTGGCAGACCCTGGTTCTGGACCACACAGTCCAAGGGAAGACATGCTCCAATAAGGACCCTACCAAGTCAGATGAGTCTTGTGTGACAACTGGTAAAAAGGTTTATAGTGAATCATGACTATTGATACTGAAGAATCAAGGGCCCAAGGCAAGCACTAGCAGGTAAGTAAAGGTGAAAGCAGTATCTGTCGGTTCAGTACCTAAAGTTTTTGGGACAAAAGACAGGACCAAAGAGAAGTCCCTATCTCTCTTAATCAGCCTTTTTTCTCTTCCACTCTGTAAGTTCAAACTTAGTAAAAAATGGGATAGAAGTTTGATTATTTTAAACATTCCTATCTGTACCTGTTCATAGTAGCAGAAATTTTCAGTAGAGACAGGCACTCCCTAAATATGACAGCCATTAAAAACATCTGATGCATAAGGACTGTAATCAGCATTCCTGAATTCCGGGGTAACCATAGATAATAACATGTTTTCCTCTATGTCACTTTTCTAGCCTAACATTAGACTGTATGAAGGAAAAACACCCTAAATTATGTGACATCGTACAGAAAGAACTAGAAGAAAAATCGAATAGCAAGTAATTGTTTTTTCTGCTAAAAAGCAAATAGATATTCATAAAATTAAAGTGGAATATTCTCACTTTTTAGCTGGGGCTGTTTTCTGCAAATTCCACATTTTCAACGTGTGGTCCTCCGATGCTGTTATCAAAACAGGCTCAGTGGGGTGGAAAGCAAGGGCTCGAATGCCATCAAAGTGACTTCTCAAAGTAAACTTAGGGTTCCATGTCTTCCTCAATGCATCTTTATTATTTGCTATCTATTGAAGAGACAAAAGAAAGATATCTGTACATTTAGTTCAGGGTAAGGAAAAAACCCCTTACACTCCCAACATTAATTCTTGCTGATTTGTTAGTAAGCCATCACACTGTGTAACTTTCAAAACAATTTTTTAAGTGTTAAGTAACCAAACCAATAGATAAAATTAGCAATACGTCAAACAGTGGTTTTCTTTGAATGATGAAATGTATAGTAAGAGGAGACTTATCATAATTGAATGTAAAAAGTGGGTCAAATAATAACGCATAGGGGCTGGGGATTTAGCTCAGCGGCAAAAGCGCCTGCCTGGCAAGCGCAAGGTCGTGAGTTCGGTTCCCGGTACCGGAGAAAAAAAAAAAAAAAAAAAAAAAAAAAACCCAAAACAAAAAAAACGCATAACAGATCTTCACTAGTGCTGTATTTTAGATCGTGAGTGTCCCCCAAAGACCCAAGTGCTGAAGTCTTGGCTGCTGCCTGTGGCGCTGCTGGGAGGTAGTGCAGTCCTTATAAGGTGGGCCTAACAGAAAGAAATTAGGTCACTGGAAGTCTGCTTTTGATGGAAATACTGGGACCAGCTCCTCCTCTTTTTCGTTGCTTCCTGGCCAGCGTAAGGTGAACAGCTCCCTCTATCATATGCTTCCAGAAAGATGTACGTTGGTCCAAAAGCAATAGGTCACCTTGCAAATACTGAGCCAAAATAAACCTTCCTTACTTGTGAATTGGTTATCTCAGGTATTTTGTCACAGTGACAAAATGCCAACTAACACAATTAGGTTACTTTTAAAACCAAGTAATTCAATCTAAACTATAGATAGCTGAATCGTTTGTTTTGTTTTTCCATATCAGGGATTAAACCCTGAGTCTGTGCACTGAGCTACATCCCTAGTCTTTTTTTGATTTTGAGACAGAGTCCTACTAAGTTGCCTGGGCTGGGTTCAAACTTGCAATCGTCCTTCTTCAGCTTCCCAGTGAGGGATTACAGGTATGTTCCACTATTTCTGGCAGCTATAAAGTATAATTTTGGGTAAAAGTTGAAAGAATATTTTAAAATACAATCATATATTTTAAGTTTTCAATATTACCTAATAAAAGCTACATTTTATCTACTGAGCTATAAGTAAGTTTTATAAACTGGAAATAGAAAATGTTAAAAATAATCAGATATTACAAAAAATATACTCTATTGATACAATAAACCATTCTGTTCTTTTCTGCATGGTAACTTCATCTCAACAACTGAAAACACATACTGTACTATTTTTTCATTCCAAATAGCATGAAAACTGAAGTACTAGTAATTTAACTTTGCATTAACACTATGAATGACCTCTTTACCCTCAAAGGTTATCCATCATACTAGGTTTAAACAAGAGTGGGATAAGTATTGGTAGTGCTTTGGAGACTTATTACCACACAATGACAACAGCTACACAGTACTAAGAATAGCTGCTAGTTTGAGCATTATCCAATATTTTAAACATTATTCTAAACACTTTAAATGCATTGACTCAATCCTCACAGTAACTCTGTGAAGTAGGAATAGTATTATTTTCACTTGATGCATCAGAAAAAGTGAAGTGAAGTCATTTGCCCAAGGAACCCTGCCTGGAAGTAGTTTGGGAACACAGGTCACAGTCAATATAAACTATACTGTAGAATCCAGAAGTTAAAAGATACGTAGAGCCACAGAGATAGCCTTGCAAGCATGAGGTCCTGAGTTCAATTCCTCATACCAAAAAATAAATTAATAAATAAGATAAAAAATTTAAAAAAAAAGATATGTAGGAAAAACCCAACAGGACATGTCAGTTACAGTGGTAAGAGAACACAAAACACTTCATGCAAGGAATTACCACTATAAGAACCAAGAGTGATTATCCCGGAAAAGAAAAACTAAGCTCAATCATGTTTAATCTTGTTCAACAGCTGAATAGTTGTAATATGTAGAACAAATGGAATTCTTTTTGAATGAGTAGGTAGCCACCAGAACGGTTCTCAGTCAGTCCCACTTCCTCGTATTTACACCTCATTAGCTCCTTCTGAACATCATAGGGTTGGTCTGGGTGTCCAACAGCACAGAGAAGTGATAACAAGTGAACTCCAAAATGAGGCTGTAACATCATCTGTCTTGGGTGCTCTTTCTTTTTTCATATGTGCTCATACTGCAAGAAGACAGCTGCTGTGTTGAATAGCCCATGAAAAGGCCTGCCAAGAACCAGGGCCTTCCAACAGCTACGTGAAGAGCTTGGAAAAAGATTTTCCACACCTCAAGTCTTCAGATGAGATTGCAGCTTTGCCAACATCCCTGATTGCAACTACATGACAGATCTTGAGCCAGAACCACACAGCTAAGCCACTCCCAGATTCTACATCTATAGAAACTATGAGATAATATTGTTCTAAACTGTTAAGCACTGGCATAATTTGCACACTGCAAGAGATCACTAATGTATTTAATAAAACCAAGAACTACATTTGGAAACATAGTGAGGGACATAACACCAAGTTTCCAAACAATTAAAAGCTATGAGAAAAGTATGCACTTTCTCTAGAGAGAAGGCTAAATTCCACTAGGTACTGGAAAACTTTCTGAAGGGTTAATAGAAAACAGAAGTTATCTGCTTTTGGGAAGCAGAACGGGAAGTTCTGCTGCTATCCATGATGAACTAGACAATCCTGATGACCTCTGTATTAAGGACAAGTAGAAAAGTACATAAAACATGGAGAACCAACAAAATAGTGAAGAAAAACCAACCTGTCAAGGAAGGACACAGGCCTAAGGAGGTAAACCTAGTATATGGAGCTGTTTTCCCTCCAGAGGTGTTCACTGATTCTAAAAGGACGGCTGAGAGGCCAAGCAGTGCTTTCAACAGACTTTCAGTGCAAAAGGGATACAAAGTGCTACAGAGGACCCGACAATAGTGTAGGGCTTAGTGAATCACTTTGCTTTGGATCAAGTTTTCAGAGTTGTATCCTCGAAATAAGGGTGAACTAGAAGAAGTCAAGCCCCCGGAGGGTCTATAGTCCACCTCAAGAACTGAACATGGACTATAGTGATTCCAGGTTTCTAATGCCTGCAGACATCTGAGAAAAGAAAATTAAAATATATTCCTTGCAGGAATATATGGTCATATGTCTGAATAATGTAGCTACTTGGACATTAGAATCATTTATTTAAGGAAATAGGACAATATAAATGAAAAGCAGAATACATAACAGTAAGAGAGCGAATCTCCAATTTTAAAGTAATCATGCTTACAATATTCAAGAAGATAAAAGATAAAATAAAAAATTGGAAGAAGTTTTTAAATAACAATAATGAATGACTCTAGAAGAAAAACCTATAAAACCGAACATGTGAATTTAACTCCAGATCACAGATTACACTTTACATGTAACTGAAGAGAAAACTAATGAACTGTAAGATGAGTCATAAAATTGAAGAGCGTAGGAGACAAAGGCTACAGAAAGAAGGTGTAACACAAAATTAGGTTTAGAAGGAAGACAGACAGACACAAAAACAGTATTTGAGGAGAAATGGTTGAGAAATTTACAAAATTAATGAAAATATATCAATTCATAAAGATCTAAGAACTTCAAGAAGTTTAAATAAAAATAAAAGCAAAACTTGCTCAACAATAAATAAACAATTTTAAAGAAAATAAAATCAGACTACCATTAAATGATCAATGCAGAAATTATACTTGACTTCAGACTACCATTAAATGACCAATGCAGAATTATACTTGACTTCAGTAGAAAACATTAAAAATAAATGGACAATAAAATGTTTAGAATCCAAACAAAACAAGACACTGCTGCCAATTAGAGACTCAATGTGAGATAAATTAATCCATTCAAGCTTAACAAAGAACTTAAGGCAAATCAAAAAGTGAGAAAACAGCACCAGCAGGCTTTCACTGAAGAGAAATATTAGAAGTGTTCTTAGGGTGATCCCACGCGAGGGGTCAGACATGCAGGAAAGAATGAAATAAAGCAAAATATGTAAAAGATGAATAAATAAGATGATCCTAACTAAATACAGCATATACAAAACAATGGTATCTTGTAGAAGAGGAGTTCATTACAGTTAAAGATATCCTTAGGTCTTTGCATATAAAATCTTTAAGGGCTTTGTAGTAATCTTAAAGGTAGTCATTAAAAAGTAGCAAAACAGTTTATAAACTCCAAATACTATAACAGAGGTTTGAATAATAAATATAATCCCCAAACAGGTAAAACTAAGAGAAAAAGAAACAGAACAGGTGGCACAAATAGATGGTACACTTAAAACCAAACAGCAGTAACTACTTTTAAAAAGAAATGTACTGAATACTCCAACTAAAATTAAAGGTGGTCAAAGATTAGATGAAAAAAGCAATAATCAACTAAATAGTGTTTTAAAAAGATAAATGTAAAAATATGACAATACATAAACACTGGAAATAGAACTGAATTGTTATCAAAAGTATCACAAATAACACAAGAGTGCAAAGACCCCATTTAGATTAGATTACTGCATTAGCTCGGAGTGAGGAAAAAATGGATGAGGTTGGAAAATGAGAAGACGTGCCTGTATTTCAGAACCTGGAAGATTTACTAATGGAATGAGCACAGAGAGTTGGACTTTTGATCTGCAGGAAAATGAGATGTTTCTTTATCTCCTGAATAAAAAGGTTTGCTTATGTTACACATCTATCCCACATACCCATACAGCAGGCTTGCCACATGGGATACACTGTTTTCTCCAGCAGAGAGAAAAAATTATCAAAGTGGGAACTATTTTAACAAAATGTTAAGACAGATTACACTTCACCTGTGAAAGGTGGTCAAAGATACCAGAATGTATTTATAAAACCATTATATTTAGAATAAAAATGAATGCATACATAAAGGTACAAAGATTTCAGTTTTGCTCCACATCTCTGATGGATTGGCCTTAACATCTGGAAGGCACCTCGTAAAAATCCACGCCTAACAATAATTAAGATCACTTCTCAACAGGATATTGGCTAATATACTGGAAAGGCAAGAGAAATTTTGCTGTTAGGTAGGCATGAATTTCAACTAATCACTAGTGCACTAAAACATAAAACAAAATTTGGTAGTGGAAAAAGAGAATTCTTTCTCCTACCTAAAACTAATATGTAAACTATACTGGCTTGTGGATTTGGGTAAAGCCTCTAATTTCAAATATAGCTTATTTGGAAAATGTTAGCTTATCTTCATCTCTTCAAAGTTTGCAATTAAAATTGAACCAAAGCCTACCCTTAGAAATAACTTTTACCACTGCCATTTTTTTCTATAAAATCTATGTTTTATTTTCAAAAACTGAGTGAGAACATTAAAAATAAACTTCTACGTACGTCATAAGCCAGTGAATCTGCTTCATTGGCCACGGTGAGGCCTGCTAATTCTCCAAGTCCCAGTTCACTTTCGAGGGCTTCATCTGTTCCCATAATGAATGACTTCCCAGAAGAAGGAGGAAACGTCAGGGCTTCCACTGAATGGGGAGGACAAAGGAAACAACAAAATATATCCTAAAGAGTCAATCAGTGGTCTCTTATGCTTGTATTAAATTTCTTACAAGAATATATATACACTGTACCATTCTAAAATGCTTTTTAAACAACACAATTCAGTGAGCTGAAAATCTTGAAGAGCTGATTGCTTTTACTGTATCTTCTCAACAGCTAAAGATATCATCTAACTAGAAAAGTGAAACAGGAAACAAATTTAATAGTCTATTATCCTTTATTTTTCACTATACAGAAACAAGGTATGAACGAAAAATTTTCCCATTTGGTATTTCATGTTCATTGCCCAGTACTTTCTATCATTACTAAACACATACAAGGAGTATTTCTGAACACTGCTAATCTCATTCAAAATAAAATTAATTTTATACCTGGAAGACCACAGAAATTTTCAAATAAAAATTATTTTAAAAGGCCAGGTATAATGGTGCATGCATATCCCAGCACTTGGGAGGCTGAAACAGGATAATCACTGCAAGTTCATGGCCAGCTTGAACTGCTTAGTAAAACCCTATCTCAAAAGGACCTCCTCCTCAAAAAAGATTGAAAATATAAAATATGCCTAAGGTAAAAGTAGTATAATATATAGTTTTAAAAGTTAGGACTAACTCTGGGAGACAGGGAAGGGAAAGGATCAGAAAGAAGGCAACAAAGATGCTGGGCGTGGTGGTGCACACCTGTAATCCCAGCAGTTAAGAATTAAAGCTTGAGGGGCTGGGGATTTAGCTCAGCAGCAAAGCGCCTGCCTGGCAAGCGCAAGGTCGTGAGTTCAGTTCCCAGTACCGGAGAAAAACAAACAAACAAACAAAAAAAAAAAAAAAAAAAGAATTAAAGCTTGAGAAGCTAAAGCAGGAAATCACCATGGGTTCGCGGGTAACCTGGGCTACAGTGCGCACTACAAAGTGAGACCCTGTTTCAAAAAAGAAAAAAAATTTTAAAAAGGCAACACAGGCAGGACTCCTAGGGCCTTAGTAATGTTCTACTTCTTAACCCAGGGATGGTGGCACAGGTGGGTGATAACTTTGACTTTGTGATAACTCAGTGAACTAGACCCTTATAATTTCAGCACTTTCTCTAGGCAGAAATTTTAAAAACTCCACTTGAATATGTTCATTAGGTGCCAACTGTTTCAACATGCAGGTTTACTGTATAATAAACTGAATAGTCTTGCTTTATAACTCTGATTACCATCATATGCCAGGTGTTGTGGCATATGCCTATAATCTCAGCACCTGGGAGGGTGAGGCAGGAGGATCACCATGCGTTCTAGGCCAGCCTGGGCTACACAGTGAGTTCAAGGGCAGCTTGAACTACACAGTGAGACCCTGTCCAAAACAAACAAGCAAGCAAGCAAACAAACAACAAGAACCCATTAAAAGCCAAATTAAAATAGATTTTTATGTGGCTGATAACGTCACTCGTTTTAAATGAAAATTATTCTGACACAGATAGTCTATGAAATATTTTCTAGATGTGGTTACTGATCGATGACAAACATTTATGAGTTAATTAGGTGAATTTAATAGCTCAAACTTGGGCTAGCGATTTAGCTCAGCAGCACAAGTGCCTGTCTGTTAAGTACAAGGTCCTGAGTTCGATTTCCTGTACAAAAAAAACCCTCAAACTTGACTCCTACTAGAGGTAACAACTTTTCTTTAAAAGAAATAAATCAACTATATTAACAGTGCATGCAGAAAACTGAATTTACAAGATGCTTTCCTACCCTATATCCAATCACATCTAATAGTAAATATTTGTTGAACAAATGAAATAATGATTATTTGCTTTTAAAAGTAGTGGTAGAAACTACTGAAAACCCTTGTGAGAACAGAATAGAACACAAGTCTGTATGGTAAGACATTTCAAGCCACTGTACAATATAGCAGCAATAATGAAAACTGATTTACCTCAAATACCATACATCATGTGAAGAATTCTCTACATATTTACTAATATATAGCAGGGATTTTTAACGTTAGAATAGCAATTTTCAGGCCAAAATTTCAAACAAATGACTCCTGATGCTAGGTCTTCACAGGTGATTTGTTTTGTTTGTTTGATTTGTTTCCATTTCTAGCACTTAAAGATAACTGTGTTAAGATTAAAACGATTCCAAAAGAAAATGCTAAAATTCCCGAGACTGATCATACAGTCTCTAACCAGTGCTCTAGAAAAGGCTTTGTAAAACCTGAAAACAAGGAAGACAACAAATACCTCCTCACACCCCAATGGGTGGTCAACAGACTGGATGGCTGAAGAGACTGCAACTATGAGAAGCAATGTCACTTGTTCACTACAGCCTCAAAATTTATGGTCTCATAACTAGAAATTATTAGCTCTAATCAGCTTTTATAAAATTAGTTTACTGTGTCTCTTAACTATGACATTTTAATGCAAGTATAAAACACACAGGCTACAGACAATTTTCCTGAAAGTGTACTGGAGAACAAGTAGCATCATCACAGGCAATTAAATACTCAATCTACAGTACTTCTCTCTCTCTCTCTTGCATTCTCTTTCCTTTCACCCCTGGCCAGTGCATATGAAGTCAGAGCTCCACCACGTTGCTGCACTCACACTCTCAGCCCTATGTATGATTTAAGTATAAAACAAAATAGAGTTAACTGATAAGATGACTATAGCTATATAAAAAGTATACACATATAAGCAGGGACTAAAATGGAAGAAGGAAACAAACAGTAAATGTGACTAGACTTTCAGGTGACTTTTCCCTTTTTATTTATCAATGATAAACTTTAAATAAAATATTCATGTACATATCAAAGTAAACATTTTCTACCTATATTTAGCCTCTTAAATTTCACAATGTACACATTTCAAAGGGTACAAACAGGACCCACTACAGGAGTACCTGCAAAGCTACAGAGTATTTTAAATCAGAATTTAGAGTTGTCTTTTTTGAAGTTTATGTAATTCCGAAGTCATAAAGGCTGAAGTTGGAATCAATACACCTTGTATGTAAGAAAGTTTACATTCGGGAAGTGCCATGAAGATCAAACAACTGCAGAGGAAAATTGTCTCTAACACAGGGCAGTCCTTTCTAATGCTGAATTTACAGCTGTATGTCCATGTGATTTCTGTCCTCCAGAAAGTCCTATAATATATATATATGTAATACTTACCTTCATCTGCCCTATTAATTTCATGTTCAGGAATCCTGGAACTGCTGGGCCTGGAAGGTGAACCCACAGATGGCTGCAATGAAGGAAGTTCATCAACATCTCTCAAATTAGCAAGCATATCTTGTAGTTTGGACCTATTGGGCCCTAGCCAAAAAAAGGGAGGAAGGGGGAACAAAAAAAGGAGGAAAATAGAATTATCCAACTGCATCAAAATGGTACTTATTTTACATAGGTCTGTATTTACCTTTAAACATATCCTAGCCCATTAATTAATAAAAAGCATATTCAGTCTTTAAATTTTACAGCTGATTTTTTTTTTCCTAAAAAAGAACTATATTTTACATATATTTTACAAAGTAAGCTAAAGGAATCACAATGTGCATGAAAAAAACCACAAACATCCTACCTGAACCACTGAAAGTCAGATTACTCTATAATCAAACCAGTGCATAGTGTTCTAAATGAAGACAGACATGGTAGATTGTGAACCTACTGTACACCGAATTAAACAATAACACCCCTGTTTAAGTTGCACTCATTGCCTTACAACCTGAAGCTAAGACACCCAAGGTGAAATCTCATGCCCTGCCAGTTACTTACCTGAGCTTTGATTCTTCATTCTCCCACATCCCTGTTTTGACTGTTTTATATAGGATAGAGGCTGAAACAGATCTTCGGTAGTTTTTCCTGTTACAAGTTTAATTAAGAATGGGAAAAATCTTACCCATAGTCCATTTTTTTTCCTATACCAGCAAAGAATACAACTATTTCTAAACAATTTTAACTAGGACTTAGAATTGTATTTCATAATATTATGACGGAAGTACACAATTTGACTGGAAATATCTCTACACCATTTAAAAAACTCTTCCAATGATTAACAGTTCAATTAAAATATGCAGTTATGGTAGTTTATAAATTAGTGTGTTATATATCAATTCAAAGCTTTACTTCAGTTCTCTCTCCCTCTCTTTTTAAGAATAAGAAAATGTATTGGGAATAGGAATAGCTCCTGAGAGACAGGATGGGTCCCGAATAGGTTGCCCAACTTCTCTTTTTAATCATACATTTTCATTTGCTTCCATACTGTTATTCTGTACAGATAACAGGAACTAAACTGGCTAAGAATGAACTAAAAATATGCTAAGCTTTAGTCTATATTCCCCCATCTTCACCAAAAGACATTAAAATTTCTAGCCCAGCGTCATTTTTCTTCACTGAACTAAAAAAAAAAACACATGAAAAAAGATCCTAATTCCCAGATTCAGGAAACCTAACTGCTTCTGTTAGTAGGAATACCGTTCCAGTCAAATGGTGCAGTTTTAGATTGTAAGTGCTAAATTCCAACTACAGTTATGCCTCAATATTTGACAAGAACTGATAACTAATACAGTAATAAGAGTAGATGAATTTACATCTAGCTATCTTCCCAATCAAAAGATCTTTAAATTTCAAGATACTCATTCTTTTCTAACATAGTGACCTAAGGAAACTTATCAATGTTAATCTGGAAATTATTCTTCATGTATGATATACAAACTTTCCTTAAAAATATCAGTTTAGCTGGCTTGGTTATGACTCCAGAAAGTCATCACATATCACATCTCATTATAATTGTTAGAATTAAAAGTCCTATCAGTGAATAGAAGATATAAAATGTTCCCATGTTTTAATATTAAATCTTTCTCTTTATGATTTAATCTACATGATAGTACTAAATGATATCACTTCTTAGTAATTGTTGAGACTATGCAAACATTAATAATGGACACTTTTTATTGAATCAAGCTAAACATTTATAAATTCTAAGATATTTTAAATAAATGTTAATTTTTTAAGAACTGCCAAGCTGTAGAAGAAAGTCCTAACAGGAATGACTGGTCGTAGATAAGCTTCAAAGTCATCAAAAACAGAAGGGGTAGGGAGCATGTCTTTTGCAATTTTTAAATTCATTTCTCCCTAAGTTTAGATTTCAATCTTGTTTTATACTACTTTCCCACCTCAAAGAATGATGTTCCTATTGCTATAAAAGAAAGGTTCCCGTTTATAGTGCTAATGAGGGTGGAAACATGAGGAGGTACTTACAGATTTGCACTCCTAAAAATGTGTAGGATTGTTTTTAGGGATGTTTTGAAAGTTTTATATTTCCATTTTACATGCTTTACTAAATCTAAGGTTTTCATTTGTATAATGAGGTATATGATTCACAGGGCTAGAAATTTCATTTTGGCTTTTTTTTATGTAGCACATTTTATTGAAAAAAGGTAATTGGTAGTACTGCTATAAATTAAATTGGCCAAAACTTTTACATTAGAAAGCAAACTTTTAAAAGTTATATACTTGACACTGTGCCCTGTATAGCATATAGTGATGAGAGCAAATGAACTGTGTGTTGTAAACATGTAGAATACTCAGGGGTAGAAATTAACCTCTTTTTGTCTCCAAGATCTAAAATTATAAGCCATACTTTTTGTGGATTGTCAGAGGAGGTCACACTAGAAGATGTATAAATTGCCACTAATATACATCGCTATAAACATCACTGTAAGTAAGGATATATGCTTTTAAAAATGAACTTAGTAGTATGCTTGAATACATAGCCCAACAGCCTCACAGGGCTTTAAATATGTTATTGGGCTATATAGATTTTCTTTAGGTTCATAATCAAATGCCAACCATTTAATTTCAACCCCTGAGAGCTGGTGAAAAGGAAAAAAATGAGGAGTAGAAATGAAAAAGAGTAAGTAGTTTTAGGAAAACATTGAAAAAAAACTTCAGAGATGTAAAAGAGGTGAGAGCTATGATTTACAGATACAATGTTTTCCACTTACTCTTCACCCCCTTTTTCCCCTTTCTCTCCTTTTTGTATTGTTCCTTGAGTTTGGTAATTACTCCCTGGTCCACATTCCAGGCTTCAGGCATGAGACACTGGTCTTCCTTTTCTAAACAGAGTAAAACAAATGAAAACAGCCTTTTTCAATAAAATATCAAACACACTAACACGTCTGAAAGATACAACAATGATTTTCTTCACAGCATCACTAGCTAAAAATAAATGTCATTATTTATTTATCAGATATATAAATGAACAAAATAAACGCTAAGAAAAAAGGAATTCTTATCAGATATACAAATAACATAAAAATAAAACTTCGAAAAAAGATCATGTTTCTAATTAATGTATTTCCCTTAAAGGAGACAACCTAGAAATAATTTCAATGACCTTGATTAAATTAAGCCCAAACACGTTTTTCTTTTTAAGACGGGATTTTGCTATGCAGTTCAGGCTGGTCTTGAACTCATTTTGTAGCCAAGACTGGCTTGAACTCACAGTGATCCTCCTGCCTCAGCCTGCTGAGTGCTGGGGTTACAGGCTTGCGCCACCAAGCCTGGCCCCAAAAACTTTCAAAGAATCTCTCATTTTCCGAATTCTATTAGTAAAACTCACAAAAGACTCTCCATATTAATTAATGTGATGAGATTATTACTAAGAGATTGTACAAAATAGTCTCCGATGATCTTTTCATTTAAAGTGTTTTATACTTTTGTGTGTTCGTCAACAAATGGTCATTTTGATTTTATTTGCTTTATAAGTAGCATTTTGTAAATCTTAACCTTCCATTAAAATTTAAAACAATTTAAATGTTTATAAGGAAATTCAATAATCATCATTTCAGAAAAATTTATACATTTTATATGTACTATAAAATATACTATATAATGCTATAAACGTGTTAGCTCAGAACACCAGTTTAAATACAAGATTTGAATATCCAACCACATACTTGTACATGCCTATTGATTGAACAGTAATATTGTAAGTATCTCAGAACTAAACATGCAAACCAAATTCCAAAACTCCCTTCCATCTACATTTAATATGGATCCCAGATCTCCATTTGCTCAGAACAAAACACTTGTGCTGTTCTGTATCAAGTACTTTAGGAACACTTTCGCAATACTCAAAAGTGTATCCAGAATCTGGTTTCTCATTACATCAACAACTTCTCTGACTACAACGATCTCTTGCTAGAATTACTGCAGGCATTACTGCCCCTCCCACCACAAGTCTGCCGTCAACAGTTCTCTGGGCAGTCTGTTCTCAGCACAGCAGTCAGAGTAACGCTTTAACGTCACATCTCTTCAGCCTTCTGCTCAGACCCTTCACACATATCCCTAGCTCTTGAGGGATAAACACGGCCCTACATAATCTGGCCATTCCTTAATATGGCCCCTCTAAGATCAGTCTATTCCAGCTGCTCTGGATTTCTTGACTCCCTTGAGTACGCCAGGGCTGTCACTAGCTCAGTGCACTTGCTTTGGCTTTCTTCTTCCTGAAAACTTCTGCCTTCCTCAGATACCATATGGCCAATTTCCTTATCAACTTAAGTCTTTCACTCAAATGTTACCCTCTCAGTGGGGCTTACTCTAGCCATGTATTTTTAAACTGTAACCTGCCCTTTCCACCCCATCTTTCCCCTTCTCCCTGGTCTTGTTCTACTTTTTAAAGTTTTCATAGCATTTATCACCCTCTGACATGCATCATTTCCTATATTTAGTGCTTACTGCCTTGTTTCTCTTAGTAGACGGTGAGCAATGAAAGACTAGATATCTTCAAAAGACTTAGCATATAGGAAGCACTTCATCAATATTGGTCAAATGAATGCTAGAACTAACTGAAATGAATCAGAATAAGTGCACACTTATTTTTTTAAGCAATTTAAGTTGTAATCCAGGACACAAAACTTGGCACGGTGGCACATGCCTGTAATCTCAGCACTCAGGAGGCTGAAGCAGGAGGATTACCCCAAGTTTAGGCCATCTGAAACTACACTGTAAGACCCTGTCACAAAACCAAACCAAACCATCAACATTTTAATATACATAATTATAATCTCTCAATAATATAAAGTCTTTTTTTGAGAAGGACTTAACAATTAAAACTGTTAGTTTTCACCAATCAAATCTTAATACACTAAACAAGGGAGCTTTGGGATTCTGGAATTTTTGTTTGTTTGTTTTATTTTGTTTTTTGAGACAGGGACTTGCCATGTACTTCAGGCTGGCCTTGAACTCGCAGCAATCCTCCTGCCTCAGCCTCCCAAGTGCTGGGGTTACATGCCTGGAATTTTTTTTAAGCAAAAAGTTGGCTTTATCATAATCATAATACACTCATAACATTAGCAATGGAAGGCGTTAGCAAAATTTATCTATTTATTTGCCAGAAACTAGCCACACTCTTATCTTAAGCATTCTCACTCTTTTTTGAGAGTGTAGAATTAACAAAAAATGGAAGGAACACTTAAAATGGTTTAAATGTTCATCCAATTAGACAAATGTTCATTCAGTTAGACAAGATCTGCAAAGTTCTTTGTGAATCTGTTTAAGTGGTTTGAATATGAATTATACAATCATTAAAACACAAAAGGCCAAACTGCTGGTAAAGAAACTTCCAGTTAACTGACAGCTTCCAGCAGTCAAAGTTGGTAAAAGATCTAGCACACTACTCAACAGTATCACAACTCAGATATGAGAAGTCATTCATGTTTTCATCAAACATCTGGTTAGGTTAAAATGTACACCCTCAAATATTGTTATACCCTGGACCATTACTCACATGTTCAAGTAACGGAAATTACACAACCAAGAGTACAGTCATCTTTGCTGTTTACTGGACTTCTGAAAAACCAACCCCGAGTATCCCCCCAGTAAGGCTGGCATTAAAAAGGGCTAACTAATATCCACGCAGATGTACAATTTCTCAGAGAAAGATCTCAGGGAGGCACACTTGCACTTACTGGTTCAATTCCTCTACTGCTGGTATTGAGCCTAAAATTCCTAAGTAACCTAATATATACGCAACTGCAGTAGAGAATAAGACAGATGAGCAACCTATTTCACTTTAACTTCATGGTTTCCCAATTTTGTTCTCTTGAAACAAATCAGTCATCACTAGGCAGTCACTGTAAAAACCAACCCAACCCAACCCAATTTAGCTACTGTATTTGTCATATCCTTTAGTGTAATTATCTCAATTTTTTTTTTTTTTTTTTTGTATATTCAACAAAAAAGGAAAAGTAGTAGCACTGGTGCCACGACAGTCCCTGAAGGTGAGCTGACCATATATACTGAAAGCAAATCTAAATGATTTAGGGAGGTAAGTAAAGGCTGAAAACTCTGTGTAGTATGGTTATAAATTATCCTTATCAATGTTACCACTGTACCAACATATTAGTTTTTAATGAATCTGGGGTGAATCAACCTACCAAGTGGCTTAGAAAGTATTTTCAAATGACTCTAAGGAACAGTAAAAATTCAGCTGCATTTAGAGTACAAACAGTTCCTTCCTCTCATAAGAAGTTATAATACAAGCAAAGTAATAGTAACTTGCATTAGTGACTTGCTTAACATCTCAACAGGAAAAGTCATTATAAAATTTAACAAATACCTAACATTATAATGGTTTCTAGTAAGTGAGGGAAGTTGAAGTCTACCTGGAATGCAAAAGACAACAGTCAGTCACATATCTACCTCTTCCAACCTTGTGTTATTGAGACTGTTCAAAATGTGAGTATTTGTTTCCTTGAGATGACCACAAATTAATTTTCAGTGTACAGTTTTTTGGGTGGTATACTAAAAATATTAGGTGGCAACCCATTCAGGACCCCTTCTGTCTCTCTCCCGGGCACAAGCTTTCTTTCCCTCAATAAATATATTCTCAAGCCAGGCGTGGTGGCGCACACCTGTAATCCCAGCACTCAGGAGGCTGAGGCAGGAGGATCATTGCAAGTTCCAGGCCAGCCTGGGCTACACAGTGAGCTCAAGGACAGCCTGAACTGCATAGAGAGATCCTTTCTCAAAAAAGGGCAACATTTCCTCTAAACTTACCCAAGAGAGTCTTTTTATCTGTCACTATACAATCAATTTAAAAATTTGAACAAAGTTTTTAATGCAAGTTAGAAAAAAAAATGCATTTTATTTTTTCCTATGGCTTTAGAATTCTGTTATGTTACCTTCAATGAAGAAATACATAAAAATTAGGGTTTAAATCAGTATTTTAAATTTGTATACAATTTATGTTCTAATTCTTGAGAATATATTGAAATCACTAAAATAGCTGCTAAAAAAAGCAAATAAAATGTTCATTACGTACTGGGTCCACATTAATAATTCTACAAAACAATTTTGTCATAATTACAGTTAATTTTATCTTTATAGACAAAATATTAACTTAAAAGATCATCTATTTCAAATAAGAAACCATTGGTTCTTTTTTTTCCCCACCCTCAACACTGGGGACTGAACTCAGGGCCTTTGCACTGTGCTATATCCCCAGAGGCACCCCCCTTTTTATTTTGAGACAGGATCTCTCTAAGTTGCTAAATTGTCCATGCTGGGCTTGAACATGCAATGCTCTTGCTTCGGCTTCCCAGACTGCTGGATTACACTCATGCATCATCATGCCCAGCTCCATTGATTTTTTTTTTTTTGAGCTGAGTGGAAATTCTTAAAAAGATAAACTTAAGATAATACTAAAATAATTAGCAACATTACATTCTTTCAATAAGTACGTGCATATATTAGACCCTCTCTCTTCTTCTCTCTTACTCATTGACAATATATACACATCGATAAAACTGATCACTTTTGAAGAATTCATCACAATCTTACCATAGAGACAGTACAAATGCATTTGCAAACTAGAAGAATTATCTACATTACAAATTTTCCCAAGGTACTTGTTTTATACTCTTATTAGAAGTTTAAAATATATTCATTTAGAACAATATGAGAGAAGAACAAAACTATTCCTACACAGTCATCAAAACCTGAACTAGAATGAATAACAATTTTCTATTACTTTCTCATATACAGTTTCCATAAAAACAATCCACAGATAAACTGTCTAGAAAAAAACAAAACACGTACTTCAAATTCATTTCATGATAAATTGTTCATAATGGAAAAACCTTCCCTGATACACTCAATACAAGCACTCAGGAAGCTAAGCAGGAGGATCACCAGGAGTTCAAGGCCAACCTGAACTACATAGCGAGACCCTGTCTCCAAAACAAAATAAATGAATAAGGTACACATATCCCTGAATAAAAGGTGACATAGTAAAAATGTACTGTATGTTCAATATTTCAACATCATAACTCAGGGCCAAGGATTTAGCTCAGCAGCACAGTGTCTGCCTGGCAAGAGTGAGATCGTGAGTTTGAGTCCCGGTAGCAAAAAAAAAAAAAAATCATAGCTCTTGATGACATTGCCATTCTGGCAAAACATTAATTTCTTTTGTTTACTTAAATTTCTGGATGAATCCAGTATGCTTCCTTACCCCAGTCTGTCCCATCGCCTGCACTTCTAGATTCACTGTCTCCTTCTTCCGATGTAACTAAGAAGTCAAATTCCTTTAGGGCTTCTTTTGTAGCTCGATCTTCACTACTCTCAGGCAATACTTTTTTCCTAACAATCTAAGAAAAAACATGTTAAATTAAAATATTAGAAGACATTATGAGCCATGTGTGGTGATACATGCCTGTAATCTCAGCACTCAGAAGGCTGAGACAGGAGGATCGCTACAAGTTTAAGGCCAGCCTGGGACACACAGTGAATTTAAGGCCAGTCTGAATTGCATAGTGAGACTGTCTTAAAAGAAGACATGGATGTCATTTTAACAAGGAAATAGAATACATTTACCATTAAATGAGAAAGGCAATTCAAGTATTTTCTTCAGAAAGTACATATATCTTTGCTGTACCAAATTAAATGTACTACCTCAGTGAAAAACCACAGATATTATTTTTTAAAAACATACACTATACATTTAAAGCAGTAATTTAAATTTTCTCCAATGATATGCTGGCTTGTTTTTTGTTGCTGTTGTTTTGGGTTTTTTTGGGGAGGGGTGTTGAGACAGGATCTTGCCATGTAGTTCAAACCGGCCTTGAACTCACTCTGTAGCTCAGGTTGGCCTCAAACTCACAGTGATCTTCCTGCCTCAGCCTCTTGAATGCTGCGATTACAGGCACCACCACATCCAGCTCTGATTTATTTGTTTTAAATAAGGAAATACATACTGAAATCACTGAAATAAAAGGCATATATTTAAATGACAGGTGGATGAAAAACTTTCTTGACACACTTATTACAAGAACTACAACTAAATCTTACATTTTCTGGCTACAGTCTGTGCTGTCTGCAGGCATTCTAATCTGTATCAAAGAGGATACATGTCACAAAACACTACAACAGTTTTCCAGAATATAATGATGACTTTTAATATGACCACATTCTCTCACAAAACCTAAAATCACAATAACTGTATACTCAGAAACATTTGCCTTAAGACTTACAAGGCTCTCTGTTAGGCTCCTATTGTTATTTCTACTGCCCTAACCTTGCATTGGCTTTCTCCAGTTGCTCTATTTTCATTTTATCTGCTAAAATACTTATCTTTTAAAGTGATATAACACATTTAACAGCAAATATGATATGGTTGTTAGGGCTCATTTTTATATTTTTAGAAATAGTTATGACAAGCGCAATTAGAGTATTAAAACTTAAAAGCTAAGGCATGCAGACTCATTTTTGAGACCAACATGCCAATGCTCTTTATGAGTTACCTCCTTTTTGGTCACCTCAATCAACATAAGCCCAAAGAAATTAGGATCATTGGTTTGTATGTTCTTTCAGTAAAATGTATCAATATTTCAAATTTTCCAGACTTTCCTCACTTTATGTGCAATAGAAATAGTATGACCAGATCAAAGTTTACCCCAAGACTTTTTGGAATGATTTAAAACTATGAAGTTTTAACAGACAGATCAGTGAGACAAGATCAGAGTCCAAAATGGACATGAAGAGATAACAAACACTTGACTTGTATGACCCTGTTTTCTGTCTCACATCTGGTTATCACTTTTTCAATCACAGCACTTTTATCTAAGATGACATATAGCCAGGTGTGGTAGTGCATGCCTCTAATCCCAGCACTCAGGAAGCTGAGGTAGAAGGATCACTGAGAGTTCAAGGCCAGCTTAGACCGCATAGTCACTTCAAGGCCAACCTAAATTACACAGCAGGACCTTGTATCAAACAACAACAAACAAAGCAAGACATGCAGCCTCAGAAATTCCTTTTAACATAGCACCACTACTAATGGAACAAAGCTGGCATCACAGATGAAATTTATCTTAACTGTCCTGACATATATAGTGAGTAGGAGAGATCAAAGGTTATTTAGGGATGCTAGAATAATTGTTTTAACTAATTGGAATACTTTACTAAAATCAGGAAAGACTTCTACATCTACATTAGTTCCAGGTCTAACATCAGTAAATCTATTAAACAAAAAAGTCAACATGGCAGACTGTGAACAGAAACTGCATACATACTGAATGTGTACTGTATGTACTCACAAAACATATCGACCTCAAAAAACAAAACAAAAATTATCAATCTCTTCTGAGCAGCTAGACTAAGATATGAAAATACCTCCAACGAGTTATACCAATTAGACACCTTAATCCTCCTCCATACATATATGTTCATTCATCGTGAAAGCTTTAGCTTTCCTTCTCCCTGATCCTAATGGTGCCAGGTGTAATTTAGAGGGACTATCACTAACACCTTGTAGATAAAGAGTCCTTATTCTAAGCGGGGTGTGGTGGTGCACGCCTGTAACCTCAGCATTGAGGAGGCTGAGGCAGGAGGATTGTTGAGAGTTGGAGGCCAGCCTGGGCTACAAAGTGAGCTCAAGGCCAGCCTAAACTGCATGGCAAGATCCTGTCTCAAGAAGACCCAAAAAGAAAAAAAGAGTCCTTATTCTCTTTTTTTTTTCTTTTTTTTTAAGAGTAGAAAAATTGGGAAATAAGGATGGGGAACAGGAATAGCTCCTGAGAGACAGGAGGGGTCCCAAATGTGTTGCCAATGAGCCCACTTCTCTGAGAAAGTTTTATACAGCAAAATCATGAGATGGTTATAACATGGGCCAAAACCAGAATCAGCCAGTAAGATTAAAGCTATAGCCACGGATCCAATATTAGCAAGGGCACATGGATGATATCACTAACTCTGGTTGATAATCTATAATCTTAGTCTTGCCTTTAGGCTGAATACTTAGTCTAAATCTAATAAGATAATTGTTTGTTTATATGGGAAATCTCAAAAGGGTGGTATCAATAATCTCAAGCTTCCTATCCATCTGGCCACTGTCACTTTAATCTTCTTCAGATGCACCTCCAGGCACAGTTGGTGATGTGTCCTCATCTTCTGCATTGCCTCCTTCAAGGGTCTACCCCTGTCTGACTGCATATGATATCTCTACCTAATTTAGCTCTCTATAATAATTTGAGTAATACTGATGTTTTTTAGTGTCCATTTTAATATATTGGACTTACATACAGTTTTAATTAAGTTTCTATACATTCTGAGTTATAAGTAAGAAATCATGTCATTTAAACAGATATAGGTGTTTCAGGGAAAGGATCAAAAGCAGAAAATGTAACACAATACATTTTAAAGAATATTAAACAACAGTGGACAGAGTCAGTTTTGTGAGGTACTATATATCTATAAATTTGGAAAAGATAAAAAGGGGAGGGGCTCAAAACTCTAGCCTTTGTTTTCCCGCATACTGAAGCAACAAAATGGAGGAACTTGATTTAAATGAAGAATGGAATCTGTAGTGCCTTGGTTACGATTCTCATGGCTGAGACAAAATACCTGACATTTAAAGTTAAAGAGGGAAAGATTTAGCTCACAGTGTGTAGAAGTTGCAGTCCATAATTGCTGACTACAAGACAGGGTGGCACACAGCAGAGGAGCAACAGGATGGTGAAAGGCAGCGAAAAATCCGTAAGTCTGGAATCTCAAATTAAACGTCTGAAAGGATCTTTGACATTAGTTCTTAAGACACAAAAGTAACCCAATGAAGGAAAAAATCTGTTTCTTGGTAACCTTATGCAAAATGAAGATAAAGAGTAAGTTTGTCCCAGCAAACCACTATCAAGTATCGTGTGTGTGTGTGTGTGTGTGTGTGTGTGTGTGTGTGTGTGTCTTCCTGAAGATTGAATTCAGGGCCTTTGTGATCTTCCTGCCTCAGCATCCCAGAGTGCTGGGATTGGAGGCTTGTACCACCACACGCCCAAGTACATTTTTATGATGTAACTAAGATAACAGTTAATGATTCTTAATTCTGTTAATTTTTCCTCCTAAAGTTCTTCAGTGTGCAGACTAATACTGCTGTGAAGTTATCTTTCAAACAGTTTGAAAATGATCACTTTTTTCTGCATGGGTATGGTAATTTCAAGACCTTTCTTTTACTAAACCATTAAAAACACGGACAGTGATGGCAAAACAAAATGTGAAGAGGTGAACTGTGAGGAAAGAGAAGATGCAGCGGGGGAAAATAATCCAGAATGTAATTCAAGGAACAAACTCAAAGAGGGCAAACAGAAAGAAAGGAGAAAATAAATGGCTTTCAAGACATGGCACCATAAACACAACCAGCCTTGTTTCTGTATTTCCTTAATTCAATCTACTGGAACTTTTTTTTTTTTTTTTGGTTTTTTTCCGGTACCGGGAACCGAACTCACAACCTTGCGTTTGCCAGGCAGGCGCTTTGCCGCTGAGCTAAATCCCCAGCCCCTACTGAAACGTTTTGACTAACAAAATAAAACAACATTTTTAGAACCTGATATTCTATTAACATTTTAGTAGGATGATTTTTTACTCCTTCTCTCTGAAATGCTATAAACTTTCTAAGTCTCACTTATTCATTGTTATAGTTAGATTTTTAAAATTCTTTTAGTATGTAATTACAGTATTAGACTGTAACTGTGAAAATGGAATATAATATCTAACAACAAAACTTCAACCCAGTTATTTGTTTAAAAATAGTTATTTGTTTAAAAAATTTGCATTCAGAATTTGAATGGACTCAGTGTCCACATCAGATGTTCCTTCTCTGTGTTGGTCACAGAACTGCAATGATTTGCACTAACTGGAGGACAGAATATTTATGAATGTGATTACTTAAAAAGAAACCAAATAGTTGGGAATTAGAAAATGAAATTAGGTTATTGACAGAAATTTCTAGTCAGATCATTGAAAATAGTTTCAGTAATCAGTTTATAGATTTTTAAAACATTTCAATTGATATAGTCCCTAACAAAAAAACTTAATGCACCATAATTAGAGATATTCAGCACTGAGCCAACACAAAGTAATCTGATGAAAAAAAAATCTTAATGTAATCATTCTATAGAAATCATAAGGAGTTATACAATTTTCACATAATTATGACAAAAGAAAAAGTATTATAGAAAATTTAGGCCTTTACTACAATAAATTAAGAAATATGTTATTACTACTTATTTAGAAAAGAAAAATTTTGAGTGACTATCTGAAGTTCCAGTAATACCAAAGGCAGGGCGATAGCAGAATAGTGGCCCATGGAAACAGTAACCTGCCAGTAATAATTTGAGAGTCGCTTACAGAACCCAGAAAGCAAAGAGCATAAAAGAAACAGAGAAGTTATTCAGTGGTAGTCAGCCTGATGACACTTTACTTTCCTTCTTCGTATTCTCAAATAAATGTGAACAAGGAAATAGAAAAATTCTCTAAAACAAAGCAAAGCATGTCCCCAACCCTTTAAAAGAGGAGAGGGAGGAAGAAAAGGTAGAGAAGGGTGAATGGGGAAGTGGAGACAAAGGTAAAGGGATAGAGGGAAAGGAGGAAGAAGGAAGAAGGAAAGAAAATGAGATGTGAAGAGAGGGAAGAAACAGCAATTTAGAGACACCTTTTACTTCAGGAAACTGCTGATAAGACTGAAAAAAATACAGAAGAATCATTTAAAAACTTGAAGAAATCAAATAGAAAAGTTCTGAAAAGCCAGAACTTGGCTACCAAAGAAATTCTTTAAGACAAGGATCCTTCGGAGTTGATGGGAGTTGCCATCAGGCACCATGATGTGTCACTTCTCTTGTCTTGCAACAGCCATTAACACTGCATTGTTACAACATAATACATTTTTCCTAATTACCAACTCTACAGATACGTCTTGTTTAATGAATTCTAAAACATGAAATTTTTTCAAAGGGAAAGTTACTATTCTTAAATTTGAAATCAATACTAAAAACATTTTCCAGCTTTCCCAATTGTATGGGGAAAAAAGTTAAGGGTTTAGCGTGAAAGACATGGATTATTTTAAAAGTACGCATTGCATTACCTAAAAATATATTATCTGACTTATCTAGCTTACCGTTGAAGTATCAATGACACTTTTCTCTCTTCCATCAACATCATCATCTTCATCTTCATCGCTGAAATCTGTAGCTGCATTTTCAAGGAATTTGAAATTATCCAGCACGGAGGCAGAATCTGTTAACTCGGATTTTCTGGTTTAAAACATGTACATCCTATTTAGTTCACCTTTTTAACCTCAGCATAAAAATTAACTCATGAAAGTGTTTCCCTGACTTCTCTTTGTATTGCAATATAATCTCCAAATTATATTATGGTTTTCATTGATTTTGATCTATTAGAATTCTACAGATTAACTGAGAAAGCTATATAGGAAGTAGCTACTCTTTTACATTATATATATTTATATTACTGGTAATATTACTGGTAATCTAAACAACTTCCTAATTCAGTATTGTTTGACCCTTACACATCAACCTTAACGTAACAGCTGAAGAGGTAGAAAGGGCAAATGTACGCAAAGTTTACTAGTATACTAGTAAAACCAATACCAGACAATAATACAACACTTGTTTCTACTGATATACTACTAGTATACTAGTAAAACCAATTACCAGACAATAATACAGCACTTGTGTCTACTCATGAATAAATCATTCATCTTTTAGAAATGACTGAATTTTCAAATTTAACATTCAAATAAATTCCCTCAAAATAAATTTAGCAAACCTTTTCCTAATGGCCAGAATATAATTTCTCTCCAGCTCATTAGGATGTGTTTTCGATAAGAAGGCATTTTCCTGAAAAATATAGCTGTAACTGTAGACAACATTTTAAAAACAGATAAATATTAAGTTCTGAATCTGTTGAGAACTACGTTTTTATTTTTTTCTTTCATTCTCTCTCCCTAGAGAAACTGGATATAGAATATCCTTCTTATAGTTTCAAAATACCAACCAACAGCAAAATACATACAATGGAATGGGTTTTTTTTCTTCTGAAAGTCATTACTGAACATTTCTTAAATGTATGCATAAAAAAAGAAAAAAAGTATACATTATACTTCCTGAAAGATCTTTATTATCTAGATTAACAATGACTTAATACATAAGATAAACATACAAACAGGAATAATGCCCACATGACCTGTGTCTATGAAGAGAAAGACAAGTTAATGCATTCTTAATAATTAAAGAGTACTGCAAGAAGGCTCTGACATTCGTTTATAAAATTGCTATAGCCTGATCCTTTACCTAGTCCTATAATTTCAATTCATGTCCTAAATAAGTGGAACTATGTTCCCCATAGAAAATTTATGCACTTCAATTAAAACCATTCTTTCAGCCTAAAACATAGTTTAAAATTAAGTAACACTGGATTTAGACTTTCACAGAATCACTGGCTTTTTATTCAATTAATAATATGGCAAATTTTTTCCAATAAAGAAGAATCTCTATTGAACTATTCATTTAAGAAGAATCATATATAACTGTATGGTATATGATCCAAAAGGAAAAGATATTTCAAATTGCTACTGAAATTTTTAACTTAGTCTATCAACTACAATGTATTAATTCAACACAGATACATATTTTACATCCAAGGAGGGGGGCTGAGAATTTAGCTCAGCGGCACAGCGCCTGCCTGGCAAGAGCAAGGTCCTGAGTTTGATTCCCGGTACCGGAAAAAATAAAATAAAATAAAGCAAACAAACAAACAAAAACATCCAAGGAAAAATGAGTTACAGCGTTATTATATAAATAAAGCCCATTAAGAAAAAGTTTACTTCTAAACCAGGCATGGTGCTGAACATCTGTAATCTTAGTACCCTGCAAGACTGAGGCAGGAGAATCACAAATTTGAGTCTACCGTGGGAAACTGGTGAAACCTTGCTATAAAATAAAAAAGGCTGGGGTTGTAGCACAGTATGAAGGCCTTAAGTTCAATCTCCAGGACCAAAAAACAAAGCTCACATGTAAAGCACTTGGAGATACTTTTGTAATTTCTGGGTCACCAATAACAAAATTTCATTCTTCTGGATTTGTACCAAATTTCAAAAGAAGATCTTTCTTTCATTAGGTTTTAATAGCTGACTGAGCATCAAGATATTAAAACTAATATTAATTACAAATTTCAAACAAAACTGTCCTACATAATTATATTCTTGAATTAAAATAATCATAAATGGTAACATCAAACCTTACGTTACCTTCTAAGAAAAACTTTTTATTAAGCTTAATTATATTTATTTTGTATCATTACCTAAAAGTGTAACAACACTCCTCAAAATCAAAAGTAGTAAGAATTAAAGTTACAGCTAAAACACTTTGTATACAAAACACTTACCCAATCATTGCTGTTTCCTTAATTTCAGCCTCTGTGCCATTTATAACTGAGTCCTGATTTTTGTCATCTTCCCTGTCAGTGACATCACTTGAAAAGCCCAACAAAGCACGGACTCGTTTGGATTTCACATCTAGAATAGTATCCGTGTAACCCACCTCCTGGAGATACCTGTGTGAAGAAGATCCTTACAGTTCAGTCATACAGGAATCAATATTCTAAAATTTACTAGTATGTAAATAAAAGCATTTCTTTAGATTTACTGCCTACATAAAACTACACAGTACAGCACTATGCTAGTAAGACTTGTTAATAATCTTCCAGCTGCAAATGGAGCCGTCTCTTGCAGTACCAGCCTCTACAGTCACTGAGAAAAATCAAAGAACTATACAATACACTATTCATTATGTTTACCCTAAGAAGAAACTGTTCCTTAACATGGTACATAGGACATTCTTTCCTTTAGGCGGGATTGGAGTAAGCTTGTTCCCAAATGCTACTGAATTATTGTTTTTATAATAGTGATTCCAAATTTTTTTGTGTTTCTTAAATAAAGATATAGATCAACTGTTTGAGATTTAAAGAGAATGTTTCTGGAATACATGGCTTCCTCCACGACATACAAGAAATAATACTTTCCCAAGAGTCACCTCTATAGAAAAAAAACTTCTATCCTGAGACAAGTCTGAAATGAAAATAGATCCGAATGAAATTGTGGGATGTGGGTGTGCATGTACATATATGTATGCTGTGGAGGGGCAGCAGCAGAAAAATAAAAAAGAGTATAAGCTTTATACTGAGAGGTTGGTATTAAACCCATTTTGGCCACTTGCTGTGTGACTTCCCTCTCCCCCTTCTTTTTTTTTTTTTTTTTTTTTTTGGTTTTTTCTCAGGTACCGGGAACCGAACTCACGACCTTGCTCCCCCTTATTTCTTTCTTTGCACAGCACTAGGGATTGAACATAGGGGCTCTGTATCAAGCTACATCCCAAGCCTGTATTATTTTGAGACAGGATCTCATTAAATCATCCAGGTGGGGATCAAACTTGTAGCTGGGATTATAGGCATGCATGTTGCGTGACTTTAATTCTCAGTTTTTGTTCTCAGAGAACAGATGTACCTGGCATTTAAAAAAGCACCTAATACCTACCAACACCAAACCTAACTAAAAAAGATTAAAGCGACAGTGTCAGGACCATGACAGTAAGAGAAATGCCACTAATAAACATGACAGAAAAATGTCAGGCATTAACTTATATGTAGGCATAAGTCTTCTGGATAAAAGGAGAAAACAGGTTGACAAGATAAGTTTATATTCAATTTATTTCATGATTTGGTTCTAATAGTTACTAAAGCTGAAAGGCATCTGATAAAGACACATCACCAAATGGAATAAGTGTACCTTATCAAGTCAAGATGCTCATTTTTCAATCTCACCAAGTATCTGCAGAAAAGTATTGATTAAAATTTGAAGTAACTTACAACTTTCCTAAATTTAATCAGCTGTTTTTGAAAACTACTGAAGTGTCATTTTTTCCTATTTTTAACAAATATTTGATATGCATGTTACTCTGGCAACAAAGCCACATTACAAATATGTTTCAAAACAGTTTTTGCCACAATTTAGCTGGTTCTACTAAACAGCTGCTTTGTCATTTAATGATATCAACTTTCTGCGGACGAGTAGGCTTAGGGGTCTTTGGAAGTTTTAAAAAATACCTCTTGGAATGAATGAATGAATGAATGAATGAATGCATGATTTTTCTTTTTTTCTTCCAGAAACTCGATGCTGTTTATTCGTTCCAGTGTCAGACTGGCTTTCTTCAGAGGCCTTGCAGTCAGCCTTCGTGACCATCTGGGTTACGTGAATGATTGATTAAATAAAAACATCTCTTGGCTAGCTCGAAATCACTTCTCATAAAAATGCAATGTTTAAAAACACTTATTTGGAAAAGGAAATGCCTAAATCATAGTTAGGACCAAAGTAAGGACACTAAGTGGAAATCTATGTAAATATTAAAGGCTCATTTTTGTCTAGCTTTGTCTAGATAAACAACATATATGAAGAAGATATTATAATATTCTCTTAATAGGAATGACTGACATTTATTTACTTTGAAAATCTTAGGGGATTTAGCTCAGCAGCAAAGCACCTGCCTGGCAAGCGCAAGGTCGTGAGTTCGGTTCCCGGTACCGGAGAAAAACCAAAAAAAAAAAAAAAAAAAAAATCTTTGGTTTCAACTTTAGGTTTCTACCGCAAAAGACCACAACAGGTAGCAAATTTCCTTTTACTTTCACATACACTTGAATACTAATTTCAAAGTGGTATACAAGTACCAGGTGCTCAGCAGGTGAGTGCATTTAGTCTACCATTTGACATCAGAACCCCAACCAAGCTTCTTTTTCTGTGTAGTCTCTGATACACGTATTAGAGGAGAAAGTACCTCAGGTGATATTTGCAAAATTTGGGAAATTCAACACATTCTTTTATTTAAGATAAAAAAGTGGAAAAAAAACCCCAAGTAATTATATACAAATACTAACTGGCCTACATATCTGAAGAGATGATGCAGTGTGAAGAAAGGTACCGAATTCTTTCATCTACACAAACACTATCATGAGGAAAGAGCGCTTAGTATGAAAAATGAGTATGAATTCAACTAAGCTTCTCCACATGTAGTATAATAAAAGATACACTTATTTTATTAAGTTGAAAATACAAAATAAAAGTGATTTCATGAAACTATGTTGGTGCCTGTCAACTACTTTTGGGCTTGACCTCAGGATACCTACTGTCGGAGTAGCTGTCGACCCTGTTTCCACATTAACTGGCTGTTTTGTTGTGGCTGCACTTCTGTTTCATTACCTTCATCTGGAAAACACAAAATCATAATTACACGGACTTATTTTACATTCTTAAAGGGCATCTCAATGCATTAAAAAAGTCTAATACACATTAAAGAGAATAAGAATATGCAAAACTGCAACTGTACGGTATGTTGTAGGACAATGTAAATTGTTTTTAAGACAACTCTAATATAAATTAACTACTGCTACTGAAATCCCGTTAGAGTAACAGAATTAAAATAGATTTTCCCTATCTTTTTAGCCAGTCTTTGAATATTCCTCCAGGACAAAGATCTATCCAATCAAGTTGCACAGAGAAAGCCAAATACAAAAGTCTGAAGTATCACAAAAGAATGAGAACAAAATATCTAGGAATGTTAAAAAATAACCAACTAGTCTGGTAAAGAGCAGATATATAACAAATAATCTCAATGCAAATCTGTTTCATTCACTAGCTATTAAATCAAAACTTCAAATATTCTTTTAATAGCATTCTTTGAAGGAAAATTTCTAGGTTTTTGAAGCTTAAATTCATCATTAGATAAAAAGAATCCCTTCAAGAAAAATTTCTAAAAAGAACTTTCTCCATGTTAAGTCTGGACTAAAACTTCCAACCTACATGATGGCCTACTATAACAATAAAAACAAATTTAAAAAACCCACTTTTTATTAACCTTTGACCAAACTATAAGAAATTTTTTAAAATTTTATTTTAAAGAGAAAAAAAACCCACAAAAAAAATTTTTTGCTTTTCTCTTATCTCCATTCCCCCATCCCAGTTTCTCTTTCCTTTTGAAGTTTCTTCCTATTTTACAATATCTATTGCACACTTCATATCTTATTTACTCTTTTCAGCTTCTCACACTAGGGAGACAATATGATGTTTACACATGTGAGTCTGGCTTATTTCACTTAGAGTATGGTCTCGAGTTACATCCATTTATCTGTAAGTCTCCAGTCTATCCTTTTCTTTGAGTTTTTTTTTTCCCGGTAGCGGGAATCAAATTCATGACCTCGCACTTGCACAAGGCAGGCACTGTGCCGCTGAGCTAAATCCCCAGCCCTCCAGTCTATCCTTTATGACTGAGTAGTACTCCATTGTATAAAAAGACCATATCTTTTTTTATCCATTCCTCAGTTGATGGGCATTTGGGATCTTTCCAAGACTTAGTAATAACAAATTGTGTCGCTATAAACATGGGTGCACATGTATCACTGTGGTATGATGTTTCTAATTCCTCTGGGAAGATACCCAACAGGAGACTAGCTGGGTCAAATGGGACCGCCAATTCTAGTTTTCTGAGGAATCTCCATACTACTTTCCACAGTGGTTGCACCAGTCTACACTCCCAACGGTAGAGAAGGGTTCCTTTTTCCCACAGCCCCTCCCGCCTTTGTTATTGGTTGACTGCTTGATAATAGCCATTCTTTCCAGGGTGAGAAGGATTGTCAGTGTTGTTTTAATTTGTATCTCTCAAACAACCAGTGATGTTGAATATTTTCTCATATATTTATTTGCTGTTTGTATTTCTTCATCTGAGAAGTGTGTATTCATCTCAGATGCCCATTTCTAGAGTGGATCTTTAAATGTGGGAGGTCTGATTTTTTTGAGTTCTCCATATATTCTCGATAATAATCCTTTGTCTGAGGAACAGCTGGCAAACATTTTTCCCCACATTGTGGGTTGTCTCTTCACTCTGCTGGTAGTTTCTCTCGCTGTGCAAAAGCTTTTTAATAAGATGAGATCCCAGTTGTCGATTCTTTGTGATAGTTCCTGTGTGATCGGTGTTTTATTCATAAAGTCTTTGCCTATGTCTTTGAGAATTTTACCTACTGTATCCCCCAGCAGATTTAATGTTTCTGTTTGAATATTTAGATCTCCGATCCATTTCTAATTTAGTTTAGTGAATGGTGAAAGATAGGGGGCCCAATTTTAATCTTCAGCATGTGGAAAGCCAGTACATTTACTAAAGAGGCTATTTTTCTTTCAGTAAATGTGTTTGGCACCTTTGTCAAAGATAAGGTGGCTGAGTATATCTGTAGTTGTTTCTGCATCTATCTGTTCCACTGATCTTTGTGTCTGCCAATCTGTAAGAAACTTCTGAAACCGTTTTTAAAAAGAAACTACTGACCTTTGTAAAATCTTATTCAAGCGCAGATAGAAGAGGCACTGAGAAATTTATTTTGCCATATCTGAATTTAAGCATTAACTGCATGTTTACTATATTCTTGACATTGTGCTATACACATATATATTACAGTATCTCTTTTATTCCTTACAATCTCAAAAAATAGGTGTTTATTCCCATTTTAAAGATGACAAAATTCAGTTTCAGAAGATGTTATAGTTTGTATCTAGCAGTCCCCCTCAAAGCCTCACATGCTCACAGATGGAGCTTTCGGGAGGTGGCTGGATCTTGCAGGTATGATACTCAACAGTGGATTAGTCCACTTCTGCGTTTATAGCTGAATGTGATACTGGGAAGTGAAGCCTGTTCGGAGGAAGTGAGCCGCCTGGCATGTGGTACATATTTAAAAAGGTACACAGCTCCCCACTTTTCCCTGGAGTCCTCTCTGCTTCCTAACTCACTGCATATCAAGCCTTCTCTGCCATGCTCTTCTGCCAAACTGCCCTGCCTTGGAGCCTGAAACCTCTACGAACTGTCAGTCATAATAAACTTTTCCTCCTTAGGTTTATGCATGTTGTATATGATGTCTCAGCAAAGACAAAGTAATTAAGACAGAGGTTAATTTTCAGATTTCTTAGAAATACAGGTTTAAGTGCTGAAATCCTGCTATCCATGGAACTTTCCTTTACATAGCATCACTACAAATGACAGAAAATTAAACAAAATATATGAACAGACGTAAGTATTAGATCCTGGATATTTGTTTTTTGCCTAAAATAATTAGACCAAGTCCTATGATAAACCAAAGAAACAGCAGTAGAATAACTGAGGTTGTGAGTGGAAGAAAGAAAATCTGAGAAATTAAGTAAGAATTACTTTGAGATAATTTCAAAGATGCCATACTTAAAAAAAAGATAAAAACAAGGGGCTGGGGATTTAGCTCAGGGGCTGGGGATTTAGCTCAGCAGCAAAAGCGCCTGCCTGGCAAGCACAAGGTCGTGAGTTCGGTTTTCAGTACCGGAGAAAAACCAAAACCAAAAAAAAGAGATAAAAACAATGTCCCAGTACTAAGGAAAAATAATAAATTCTTATTTCCACTAACATATAATACATCAGGAACTGCGTTTATAAAGTAGTATGTTCCAGTATATCCTCTACACTCCACTGAGTACCCACTTATAAAAATACGTGAAAAAAAGATTATTTGTACTGAAATATCAAGACTTCAGAATTTCAGATGTAAGTTTGTTTGTTTGTTTATTTACTGGTACCAGGAATCAAACTCAGGACCTTGCACTTGCCAGGCAGGCGCTTATGCCACTGAGCTATATCCCCGGTCCCAGATGCAACTTTAAAGGCAGTAAATTTTATTATATGTAAGTTATAGTTTAACAAAAATAAATTAAGACAAATCAAATAAAAATCTTTTCAAGTCAAATTGCTCTTAGGGTTGGGGATGTGGCTCAGTGGTAGAGCTCTTGCCTTGCATGCACAAGGCCCTGGATTCAATCACCAACACCACAAAAAAAAAGGGGGAAAAATTGTTCTTATACTTCCATATCCAGGGCAAGCTCACTGCTCCCATCAATGGGTGTTATTAAGTAGTCATCAACTATCAGATTCATTCAAAGAGTAACATTTACATGGGAGAATTTTAAAGTAACAGCTTAATTTCTCGGTAACAATAAAAGTATTTTACTGCCATTGCCAGTCAAATATGAATAATATGGACTGGGTTTACTCTCTTCTCAAAAGAAGTAGAAAACAAAATAGATGAAACAATGGTTTACAAAACACTGGCCATCCGACAAGAAAAGATACTAATCCCTCAGAGAAGAGAAGCAAACTTATGATTATCCCTGCCAGTGCCTTGGAAGATTATCTAGATCTTTGCACAGGGAGGAGAAACAAAAACAGTAGCTGAAGTAGTAACGGCTGATTTCATGACAATGATAAAACCATAGAATTCAACGAACCCCCAAGCCTAAGAGACACTGCAGGGAGTGGTAACTTCACTAAGGTATATCATGATAAAAACTGTTCAGAACCAGTGATAAAGCAAAATCTTTAAAAACAGCCAGAGAAAAAGGGTCACATTAAATACAGAGGAACAAAGGAAGGAAGGAACAAGAAAAAGAAAAGGTAATAGAAGGAAAAATGAAAATAAAGCTTTTGTAAATAAGGAGAGGAAGAAGGGTTGAAGGGAGGGGAGGGGCATGGGAAAAAAAACAAGATTTAAATGTACAGGTACAAATTCCCTACAATGAATATGATCATTAGGTACATCTACAATGTACCAATAAAATTTTAAAATGTATAAATAAATAGGAACAAAGGTAAGGAAATAAGCAGTATCTCATCAGAAATAATGCCACTGGGCAAAAACACTTTCCTGATGTACAAATCCTGAAGAAATCATTACCAGCAGCTAATAATACAATATTTACTAAAAGAAGTACTTAAACCAGAAGGAAAATGATACCCGATGGAAATACAGGTCTACAGAAAGGAACAATGAGCATTAGAAATTTTTTTTGTTTTATTATTTGATCTCTTAGAGAACTGACGGCTGAAACCAAAATAACACCTCACTCAAACCCTTAGCTTTTCTCAATTCTACCATTCTCTGGTGAGTTTGTTCTCCATTTCAACATAATAAACCATTATACAGTAAACCTCTGCTTTCCCTCCCTCACCTATTTTTTTTTTTTTCCATGGCCTCATGCATGCTAGGGAAGTGCTCTACTCTACCACTAAGCTGTATCCCCAGCCCTGCTTTTCCTGTCTGGTCCACTCTTAAGCAGATAATCAATCCTGTCTTATCACAAAGTTACCATTTGAGTACTCCCTTAAATATTCACCCCCAAACTGAAAAACCAACCTATAAATATGTCCCATGTTCTTCGCAAGAACAACAAATGACGCAGTGTTGTATGCAACAGTGTTTCAGAATCCAATCTTTATCATTTTTTCAGATGTGAGTCTCTCTATTCTTTCCCTTTTATTGGTTCCTCCTCTTGGAAACACTATATATGCAAACATGAGCTGTGCAACACACACACACACTTTCCTCGACCCCTCATCCTTTTAGCTGTTGCCCTTCAATCCTTCTGGACTTCCATAACCTAAGCTTCCTCAACGTTGTCTACACCGTCTCCATTTTACACCTGTCTTTGTTTCTGTTCTCACCTCTCTCCTAAAACGGCTTGCAATTAAACTCGCAATGGTCTGCGTGCTACTAAATCCTAGAGGCTCTCTAGCCTTCTATGAAATAATCAGAAATACTGGACAGCCCTTCCCCTGGGAATGCTCTCTTCTGGTTTCCACTCTCTTGCTTTTCCTTCTACCGTTACAGTAGTCTTTATCTGTTTCTTTCCAGATTTCTATTCAACCTTTTAAATGTTGCCATTCCTCAGGTCTCCATTTTAGTTCCTCTTCTCACTCTGCACAGAGCTTGAATGATCTCTACTAACAGTTTTGTGTGCCTTCCCTACCAACAAGTTTTGCCTCTGGCTGGAGCTCCACACTCATACATCCAACTGCATACGAGCAATGTTCTTAGAAAATATATTCCAAAGCAAACCAACCATTTTCTAAACCTGTGTAGTTGTTTAAACTACAAATGTGGGAGTCATCTTTGACTTGCCCTTTCTTTCACCTTTCTACCGTGTCTAATCGAGAAGTAATTTCTGTAGATTTTACATGCTAAATTTCGCCCCAAAACTATTGTTGGCTACCTGGTCAGGGGAGTCTTCCCAGTTCCCCAGATGACCATCGAAGTTCTAGTTCTCTAACCAGTCTCCACACCTCCAACTCTGCTCTTCTCTAGTCCATTTTCCACACTGCAGCTAATGTGAACTAACAGTAAATCTGATCACAGCTCAGCTCTTCTCATCACTCTGCATAAAGTACGAGCTCCCTAATATATTCTACAAAGTCTCTGTACAATATTTTATGCCACTGGCTAAGTCTCAAGCTGTGTAAAAACACTCCTTCTGTCCCTCTCATTATCATTCAGTTTTCTCATTTCTCAAATGTGCCAAACTAAAAGCTTTGTAGCTAATACTAGGTCTCACCGATGTACCTCACCTCATTCAACAAAGAGTCAGTTTACCTGTCCTGGTTAATTTTTACTTTTCCATCAGGTGCCAGTGTTAAATATCATTTCCTCCAAGTAGCCTCTCTTGATCACTTATATTAGATTTGGTCCCCTTATAGTGTGCTCAAGAAAACCAATCACTTTTTTTATTATACAGTCATATTTTAGCGTAATCACTTCTTAACTGTCTGTTTTCCCTGGAAAAATCCATCAGGGCATTATTGTGTTATTCACTGGATTTCATACCTGTTCTGAAGAGCTTGATATATTTAATATGTATACAATGAATAGGCTATTAGAAAGATGAATAGATAGAATCTTATTAGTTACTAACGAGGCATCGCAGACTAAGAAACATTTCAGTCAGGAATAAGTCTCAGAATATTTACAGATCAGTAATGGAGAAAATCTCAGAGAAATTAAGTAATATCATAGGGATTTAAAGTGTCAGCAAAAAACCAAACATATTTACATATTTGCTTTCAAAGCCCCCGTATTTTATATTAAGCCATACTGTTTACTCATAAACTTCATATGAATTGGAAACTTTTAAATGTTACACTATCTATAAAATCATCCCCTTAGGCCAGACAATACATCCTTACAAACTAACAAACTGCCTAGATATATAAAAAAATTACTTTTCTGAAATCTACATGCATCTCAGATCTCAAGAATAGACTCTCCAGTATAAGACAGAACTAAAAACACAACAAGAAAAGTACCAGTGATCAACTGGTATTGCTCTACACCTCAAGGATTTAGTATTCTGCTGTGGATACTCATTAACACATTACTACACTGAATTAATTACAAAACTGGGAACACATTGAACTCATTTGGAAAGTTTTTCATACTTGTAAAATATAGACACAGTGGGGTAAAGTGGGAAGAATATCAATTCTGGAATCAGATCTGAATTCTGATCCATGTTCCATCACATAATAGTTGTGTGACCTTAGGCAAGTATTTCTACTTCACTAAACTTAAATTGCACATAAATGAAATACAAACAATATTATCCTTATTAAATAACTATTTTAAAATTAAAAATAAAACTTATAGCACAGGTAGATATTTTAGTAAATTATATGCAAAGGGTGATCAAAATATGTGGTGAATCTCTGCATTTTTAAAAATTATTGTAGTAAAAGACGTATTGCTATTACTCTCTCTCATAACACTCCTGTTCACTTCCAATGCACTTATCCCATTGTTCTTTCAACTTTCTGAAGCAGTTCTACAAGTCTTATTTCCTGAGGTATGATAAAACATACAGTGAATGCTACGGCTCAGTGCCATCCAATGGAAAGACAGGTTTGTAAAAACTTTACAGTGTGTCCTCATTCACCTTACTTACACTCACCAGACCTGGTACCATGTAATTTCTAGTTCTTTCCCAAAGTTAAATGACCATGAAAGGCAAGTGTTAAAACATGTCCTATTTAATTAGAACTTCCTGTAGCAAAGAAAGTCCAGTCCAGTCTGAAACTGTTAGCAGTTTGAATGTGGATCAGTTATAAGGATTAGGAATTGCCCTATGCTTTAAGAAGAAATCTCTTACTTCCACACTTCCCACACTTTCTCCAGATTTCAAATGCATCATGTACTGCACCTTGTAACTACACATCTCAAAACACCCATTAATGTTGGGGAAGATCCAACAAGACGAGGTTATGTTGGTGCCTATTACTCCATGAAGTCTGAACTTCCAGTAAGTATAGAACATAGCAGAAAATGGGCTTAAAGGGGGTGGGGAATTAGTAGAAAATGTTCTACATGACACTAAATTATTAGTGGCAAAAGATAAGCAGATCACAAATAATATGCAAATACTGTAATTAGAAATTAACTATAAATATTGCCACAAAATACTAGACAAGAACTTCTTTGTATCACTTAAACTTCCTTTAGAATTCGCTTACCAGAATCATAGCTTGGAGGCTTCATATCTCCCTGATTCAATTCTGTCCCATATTTCAACTTGTGGTATTTGGCTCTAACAAAGAAATGAGAAAATATAAACCATCTTAACACATATTTACATGAACTTTAAAATACATAAAGGGGGTAGTATATGTTAGTCCTAGCAAAACTTCAAGTTTTAAAGATTGGCCTTTCATGTTATCAAAGTCATAATATAGAAACCCTTGCCTTTTTGGTTCTTATATCATCCAGTGTCATTGTAACAAAGTAAAAGAATAATACTGGGAATCCTATATCTTTCTCTAATTACAAATGAACCATAAACATTCTTCTTCCTGTAGTATTCATATTTTTGATGATTGCAATTTCAACTTTACTTTCAGTGGGTTTGGACAGAGAAATACAAATATGTAAGGTTACTAACCTTTCTCAAGACTGAGTTTTTAAAGAAAATTTAAATTATCTATAATATTATTCACCAAGTATAGTTACAATGTATTATCCAAGGCAAAAATCTAGCCTAAACCATAAGTATTAAATAAGGTATTCTAATAATAATGAATCTGTTTTTCCTAGCTAAGATACTCTTTGTCTTTTACTCAGAAAAAACCAAAAGGCCACCTCCCCTGAAGACAACCCAAGGGGCTGAAAGGGGCAGAATGGTATAAGCCACACACCTAAATTACTCAAAACGATAACAGATGAGGTTAGAAAACAGATCAAAGAGAAATACAGGAGATATGACTAAATAAATGATGGAAGTAATGACTAATATGATCCAGTTCTCAGAAGACACCAATAAAAAGCTAGCTAATCTAAACAAAATGACACAAAACATGAATGATTAGTTTAGCAAAGAATTAGAGTTCATGTAAAGGTTTCAATCAGAAATCTAGGAGATTAAAAATTATTTAAGTATGGTCAGCAAAACTGACCAGCTGAGGACAGTATTTCAGACCTAGAAAACAAATGATACCTTCACATACCAACTACTCAAAGACATCTTAAAAGCAACAAGAGAACATTCAAAATAGATCTAATAACTGCTAGATGATGCAAAGACTAATACTAATTGGAGTATGTGAAAAATCAGAAGACAACACAAATAGCAAAAAAAAAAAAACCTGTTCACAGAAATAACTGCAGAAAACCCCCCAAATTTAGAGAAAGAATTAAACATACAGACAAATGAGGCATGTAGAGAACCCCAAATAGCCACAACCAAGAGAATCTCTCCATGCCAATGTCCATCACAGGGGCAAAATATTAAAAGCTGTTAGAAAAAGGCAACAAATCATGTATAAAGGTAACCAATTAGAATTATAGCAGACTTTTCTACATAAACAATAAAGGTTAGGAGGGTGTGCAGTGAAGTGTCTCAAGCCCAAAAAGATAACAACTTCCAACCCTGACTTACACATCCCACAAAACTTTCCTTCAAAACTGATGGAGAAATAATGTGTTTTAAAGATAAAGAGCACTTAAAGAAATTTACGACCAGAAAAGCAGCATTCTCAAGGATATTCTAGAAAGAGACAATGAAGCCAACAATGACAAGAAGTGAAAAAGAACAAATACACCCAGCAAGATGAGTAGCTAAGCAAAAGGGAAAAAAAGGAAATCAGCAACAGAAAAATAATTCTCAACATGAACAGTCTCAATTCCCTAGTCAAAAAACATACTGGCAGAATGGATCAAGAAACAAAACCCAATGATATGCAGCATACAAGAAATACATTTGAATAAAATGAACCAGACTAAAGATCAAAGAATGGAAAACAATAGTCCATACAACAGGAACCCACAAAAAAGCAGGAGTAGCTATCCTAATTTCAGACAAAGTGGATTTCAAGTCAGAACGATCAGAGGTTAAAAAAAAAAGTCACTACATACAGGTTAAGAGAACAATTTAGCTGGAAATGGTGGCACACACCTGTAATCCCAGCACTTGGAAGGCTGAGGCAGGAGGATTGTTGCGAGATCGAGACGAGCCTGGGCTACAAAGTGAGCTCAAGGCCAGCCTGAACTGCACAGAAAGACCCTGTCTCAAAAAAGACAAAAAGAAAAGAAGAAAAAAAAGAAAGAGAGAACAATTCAACAGGAAAAGGTAACAAGCATAAACAAAAGCATACCAACTACCAGCTAACTTCATAAAACAAACATTAATAGACTTGAAAAGTTAGATAAACACCAATACAATTGTACTGGGGGACCCTCAATATTCTACTATCACAAACAGATCAACAAAAAAATATGAGAGTTGAACCAAACCTTCAAACAAATGGGACTTAATAGATTATCTACAGTGTTCCATCCAACAATAGAATATACTTTCTTCTCAGAAGCACAAGGGACTTACTCCTAAATAAACCCTACAAAAGCCCACAAAGTGCTTATATAAATGCAAAAAATAAAAATTATCCCATGCATATTATCAGATCATAGTGCAACTGAACTAGAAATCAATGGCAAAAGAAACCACAAAAATAACACAAACACATAGAAATTAAACAATATCCTCTTGAATAATCAATGGGTCAAAGATGAAATTAAGGAAGAAATTAGACACTTTCTACAATTAAATGATAATGCCAATATGACATAGACGAACCTACGGGACACAATGAAAGCAGTCCTAAGAGGCAAGTTTATAGTGGTGAATGACCACATGATGCACCTGAAGGTCCTAGAAAAAGAAGAACAACCCAAATCCAAAACAAACAAAACAAAACAAAACAAATCCAAAGCTAATAGAAGGAAGCAAATTATAAGGATCAGAAATTAATGAAATTGAGACTAAAAAGAAAAATACAAAGAACCTATAAACTGAACAGTTGGTTCTTTGAAAGAATCAAAATAGACAAATCTTGAGCCAATCTTACAAAAATAAGAAAAGATCCAAATTCATGCAATTAGAAATGACAAAGGCAGCCGGGCATGGTGGTGCACGCCTATAATCCCAGCACTTGGGAGACTGAGTTAGGAGGATCACTGGAGGCCGGCCTGGGATACATAGGTGAATTCAGGCCAGCCTGCACTACACAGTGAGACTCTGTCTAAAAAGAAAAGAAAAAGAAATAACAAATGCAAAATCACAATGTATTCTGCCCAAATCCAGAAGTTTATTGGTAACTACTTTGAGAACCTGTACTCTAATAAAATGGAAAATTCAGAAGAAATGGATAGAGCCCCGGATACATATAACTACCAAATTTGAACAAAGATACAAAAATCCTGAATAACTTAATACTAATGAAATTGAAGAAGTAATTTTTAAAAACCCAGTAACTAATAAAACCCCAGGTCTTGATGGATTCACTGCCAAGTTCTTGAAGAACTTTAGAGAAGAGCTAACACCAATATTTCTCAAACTCTTTAATGAAGTCTAAAGGGAAGCAGTATGCCCAAAATCATTCCTGAAAGTAAGCATTACCCTGCTTCCAAGTTAGAAAAGGAGCCAACTAAAAAAAAGAGAACTTCAGGTCAATCTTCTTTAATGAATATAGATGCAAAAAAATTCTCTATAAGATACTAGCAAACAGAATGCAGTAGATCATCAAAAATATCATACATTATGACCAAGCAGGCTTCATCCCAGGGATGCAAGAATGGTTAAACATATGCAAATCAATAAATATAATGCACCACATAAACAGAAGGACAAAAAAAAAAAAAAAATCACATGATCATCTCAAGAGGTGTAGAAAAAATATTTGACAAAATCCAACACCCAGGCTGGGGGTAGTGGCACACACCTGCAATCCCAGCACTTGGGAGGCTGAGGCAGGAGGATCATTCCAAGTTCAAGACTAGCCTTGACTACAAAGTGAGCTCAAGGCCAGCCTGAACTGCATAGTGAGACCCTGTCTCAAAAAATAAATAAATAAATAAATAATACAACATTCATTCATTATAAAGAACACTGAAGAAAACAGGTATAGGTCTCTATCTCAATCTGATAAAAGTCACCTATGACAAATCAATGCTAACATCATTTTAAATGTAGAGAAGCTGAAAGCTTTCCCTCTAATATTAGGAACAAGACAAAGATAAGGATGTCCATTGTCACAACTCCTGTTCTTGAACATTAGTCACAGCAATTAGGTAAGCGAAAGAAATAAAAAGGATATGCATAGGAAAAGAAGTTAAATTACCATTATTTGCAGAGGACATGTTCCTGTACATAGAAGACCAAAAATTTCACGAAAAGGCTCCCAGAATAAACAAATTCCATAGCATAGCAAGATACAAAGCCAATATTAAAAAATCAATAGTGTTCCTGTACACTTAATAATAAATTCATGGAGAGAGAAATTAGGGAAACAATACTTTTCAAAATAGCATCAAGAAATGTCATACTTAGAAATTAATGTAAGGAAGTGAAAGACCTTTACAATGAAAACTACAGTACTCTGAAAAAAGAGGACATCAGAAAGAGGACATCAGAAAATGGAAAGATATCCTCTTTTGGACAAGCAGAACCAATATACTCAAAATGGCCATACTTCCAAAACTACTATACAAATTTAATACAATCCCAATCAAAATATCATCAGTATTCCTTACCAAACTAGAGAGAGCAATCCTAAAACTCATAGACTAGAAGATAACTGAAGTACTAAAAGCAATTCTGGGCATCAACAGAAAGGCAGAGGCCATCACAATCCCAGGTTTCAACTTATACTGCAAAGCTACAGTGATAAAAATAGCATAGTATTGGCTAAAAAAAGAAAAAAAAAAACAAACTCAGTGGATCAATGAGATAGAACAAAGGAAGCAGAAACAACTCCAAGCACACTCACCTACCAGATTTTTGAGAAAGAGGCCAGATACTTTCACTGGAGGAAAGACAGCCTCTTTACATGGTGCTGGGGAAAGTGGACAGCCACATGCCAAAATTGAACTTATATCCATATCTCTTACCACGCACCAAACTAAAATCAAACTGGAGCAAAGATCAGAAGCATTTAATCTTCTAGAAGACAAAATAGATAAAACTCTTCAAGATATTTGCATAGGCGAAGACTTTCTGAATAAGAAAGTTGTACAAGAAATACAACCTGGTTATATAAG